CTTACACTTAACAGAATGACTAGAATCAAAAAGATGAGAAATAACAAGGTTGGTGAGGATGTGTAGAAAAAAGGAACCCACACTGGTGGGAATGCAAACTGGTACAGCCACTGCGGAGAAAATTAAAAATAGAATTACCCTATGATTCAGTAATTCCACTACTATTTACCCAAAGAAAACAAAAACACTAATTCAAAAATATATATGCACCCTATGTTTATTGCAGCATTATTTACCATAGTCAAGATATGGAAGCAACCCAAGTGTCCATCCATAGATGAATGGTTAAAGAAGATGTGGGATTTAGGGCGCCTGGGTGGCTCAGTTGGTTGAGCCACTGCCTTCGGCTCAGGTCACGATCCTGGAGTCCCGGGATCGAGTCCCACATCAGGCTCCCTGCTCAGAGGGGAGTCTGCTTCTCCCTCTGACCCTCTTCCCTCTCATGCTCTCTATCTCTCATTCTCTCTCTCTCAAATAAATAAATAAAATCTTTTAAAAAAAAAGAAGATGTGGGATTTATATACACTGGAATATTACTCAGCCACAAAAAAAATGAGATCTTGCCATTTGCAACAACATGAGTGGACCTAGAGGGTATTATGCTAAGTGAAATAAGCCAGACGGAGAAAGACAAATACCCTATGATTTCACTTATAAGTGGAATCTTAAAAAAAAACAAATGAATAAACTAACAAAAAGCAGAAACAGACCTATAAATACAGGGAAAAAACTGGCGGTTGCCAGGGGGCGGTGGGGGGGTGGATGGGCAAATAGGTGAAGGGAAGTGGGAGGTATAGGCTTCCAGTTACAGAATGAATAAGTCTTGGGGATGAAAGGTACAGCCTGGGAATATAGTCAATGGTGTTGTAATAGACAGACGCTAGCTACATTGTGAGCCCAGCATAACGTACAGAGTTGTCCAATCACTGTGTTGGACACGTGAAACTAATGTAACATTGTGTGTCAACTTTAATTAAAAAAAAGAAAAAGAAAAATGTAGACTTAATACTTTAAATTTCTGTGTAGCAATGGGGACACTGTTTTTCTCTTTAAAAAAAACCAATTAAATAAATAAAAGTCTGTTTGTCCAGATTGGAGGTGTTTTAAAATGTGAAGAGGGAAATAAGAAGCAGCTTTTCCAGCTGGGACCCCACTCCCATGGTTACTAAGGAGACCAGTTGGCTGTAGGTGCTGTAATTAATCAGTAAATTCTGAGCAGCCAAATACCTGATGGTGACAGGCTATTTACTATGAGGGGGAAATTGCCGGCGGTGGGGGGAGCTCCAGGAGTTCAATGTGGGAGCCCAGCTCCGACTGCCTTCTTCCCCTTATACTCCCCCTACTGAAATCTTCTGGTGACTGTTTTAAGAGCTTCTAAGGCTGCCTCAAAACTTACCCATATGAATGGAATGGAGTCTAATTCTTGCAGCCACCTTAGCTTGGGTGTCTCTCTTGCCAGAGGATAGCAAGCTGGCATGAGCAGAAGGGAACAACGTTGGCCTGCTAATCACTAGAAATAGGCTGTGTCACCTCTCCTCTCCAACGATTTTAATTCATGCATACTGTCAGAAGAACAGAGGGCAGCTTGCTTCCCTAGGACCAGTTATCACACCTGAGGGAAACCCATGGACCTGCAGGTGCCGTGATTCAGGGGCAAAGTGCCCAGGAGAAAGCCTTTACGTGATTGCAAGGACCACGCAATTTGCGCCCTTTCTAATTCGCTCTGGCTTTTCGAAGAGGCAAGGTTCTTACACCTCCCACACAGCAATGGTTGTAAAGTCCCTCCCTAGATTCATCCATGCCCTTCCCCTCCATGCCTTACAGGAGACAGCCTATCAGAATATGTAGCTTCATTGAACCCAAAGAGAACTCCCAGGTCAAATGGTTCGACTCTTTCATTTGGTAAATGAGGAACGAAAAGTTCAGAGAAGTTGTGACTTTTTGCCCTTGCTTTTTCTTTCCCTCAACTGCGTGGGGAGCAAAGCACCTGGCTACCAAACACTCTGGGAATGACTAGGTGCTCAAAGTCAGTATATCATTTCAGATGATTTCCTTACTGGTTGTAACAAAAAATTCAAATCAGTAGCTTAAAACATGGAAGATTAAAGTTATCAATGGGTCGGGGCACCTGGGTGCCTCAGTCCGTTAAGCGTCTGCCTTCAGCTCAGGTCATGACCCCGGGATCCAGGGATGGAACCCTGTGTTGGGCTCCCTGGCCAGCGGGAAGTCTGCTTCTCCCTCTCCCTCTGCCCTCCCCCCAGCTTGTGCTCACTCTCTCTCTCTCTCTCTCTCTCAAATAAATAAAATCTTTAAAAATAATAAAGTTATCAATGGCCCCAGTAAACAGCCCCTGTAGAGCCACCCCCTCTGTCCTGTGACTTTGTAGTCTCCACCCAACCTGGCTCTGGACTGCCCTTGTGACTGCCTAGAGCCAGTAAATGTGGCAAAAGCAATGGGACGCCAACTCTGAGTTTGGGCCTCAAAGGATACTACCTTGTTTCCTCGCTTGACTGAACTTGCTGGGGCTTGCCCCCCGGCCTTGCCATGAGACCATGCCAGACCAGCCTGTTGAAGGGATACAAGAGACATGTGAAGGCGAAGGATAAGACCCATGGAGAACCAAGGTGCCCCCAGCTGACAGCAGCAACTTCTTGAAGCCAACATGCAGCTGACTGCAGATGCACGAGGAAGCCATACTGAGCCAAAAGAATCACCCTCCTGACCCCAGCCTAAATTGCCAATTTGCAGTATCACGAGCCAAATAAAGGATTTGTTGTTCAAGCCTCTGGCTTTCATGTGGCTTGTTATATAGCAACAGCTAACTAAACCCTGATATTTGAAATAGATAGCTGAGGGTTTTCTCTTTAAAAAAAAAAAAAAAAGTTGGAGGTTGGAAATCCAGGATTGGCATGGCATCTCCATACTTATGAGGGAACCAGAATCATTCTGTCTTTATGCTTCATTATCTTTAGTCCATGGCTTTCAGCCTCAAAATTGTCTTATGACCCAAGATAGCTACTAGAGATCCAGCCATCACATTCCTGTTCCAGGCAGACAGGAAGGAGGACAAAGAAGAGGCTTCTTCTAATTGAATTGGCCCGCTTTAGAAGATCTTTCCTGGAAGTCCCACCCAATGACCAGCAGCTTGATTCTCACTGGCTACCCTTAGCTGTGAGGAAGGCTGCGAAATGGAGACTTTTAGCAGAACACGTTGCCACCTAGGGTACTGTTTAGTAAGGAAGGACGATTGGGAAGGCAACCCGGAATATCTGCCCCAGCATGTGTGAAAACAAGCTCCAGGCCTAGGATCCCCACACACATCAGGATGCAAAACTGACCACATGTCATGCTAATTTCTGAGTTCACAGTGGTGGCTTTGACCTATAATAACAAAGTGTAAGCTTTGGGCAATCAAGGTCTAAGTGGAAAATCATGGGTATGCTGGTCTCCTGGACCCTTTTGCTGTGAATACAGATGGGAGGGAAGTTTTATTCTTAGAACTTGTTGCTCTTCACTTGAGGCAGGTGCTTACTTGCTTTCTATTTTTTTATTGAGATGTAATTTACATAACATAAAATTGTCTATTTAAAGGATATAATTCAGTGGTTTTTAGTATATCCACTACGTTGTGCAACCCTCAGCACTAATTCCAGAACATTCCCATCACCTCCCCCTCCCACAAAAAACAAACAAAAAACCCATGCCATTAGCAGTCAAAGCAGATGCTTTCTTTCATCCTTCCCCCCCCCCGCCCCCGTTCTCAGGTCCACGAGAGAGCCAGACTTGCCACACGAGAGGGTACTTGAACTCCTTGCACGACATAGACTCAAATCTTGGGACTCTGGAATATTTTTACATCTTCTTGGGAGAGCCGAGGAGGAGGTCATGTTGCAATTTGCCTAGGGCAAAGAAAGGAGTCCACAAGGATGCTGGGGATCTAAACATTGCCTGCCTGGACTGACCGTGAACTACCTCCCCACGGGGAAGGGAAGGGGGGTCCACCCTGAGTGGCGAGGGCATCTTCAACAGCTTCTGAGACTCCAAGGCACGTGGGGGGGGTGTGGTGACACCCTAAGTTTCAGCAGCAGCTTTGAAAGTACTCTGTTGTGACACTAGATGTTGACAGGGGATTTTTAGATTCGGTGAGTATTATTTAATGTGAAAATGACGAAGGGGATGCGGAACTCATTTATTAAAGGTCTCCTATGTTCCAAATACAAACAGAATCTCGTTTTTCTACTCACAACGGTCCTGGGAGGTATCATACCCATTTTACAGGAGGAGGACCCGAGGTTCCCCAAGAGAAGTAACTTGCTCTGACAGTAGAGCCAGAATTTCAGACACTTCCTTCGAGTGTAAAGGCTCAGCATTTTACATCGTGTAGTGCTGTGGGCGCCTGTGAAAATGCCTCCTGACGTGACCCAGGGCAGGTAAGAGTCCCTCCCTTGAGCGGCCTAGTTGTTGCTGCCTGTGGGGCAGGGACAGTAGAGGGGGCTTGGCTTAGCTCAGCTCTGGGCTTCTCTGTGCCGGTGGGAGCTTGGCGTGAGATTCCCCTCCTTTTGCCCCCTTCCTATTCTTCACTCCTCAGGCAAAAAAAAAGGTTGTTCAAGGAGACTCCAGGATTGGGGTCTGCCTCATCACTGTCACCAGGAGCCTTTTTTTTTTCCTGACTGACTTGCCAGAGCTCCCCATCAGTCCTTGCTGTGCCTCTGGAAGCAAAGGGAAGGCAGCTGTGGGATCCTGGCTGAGCAGAGTCCAGGTAAAGCAGGCTCGAGAATGGATGGATTGGGGGGGGGTTGGGGTGTCACAGGTCTGAGCACAGAGCCAGGGGGCGGGCAGGGAGCAGCCAGGGAGGATTGTAGGTTCTGCTGCCTGCTTGATTAAGGGGGTCAGCGTGTGGATGTGTCATCGAGGTGGGCAGGGAAGGGGAGGGCTGTGCGTGGGGGGGAGGATATATATATATGCTGGTGTGGCTGATACGGCGGAACCGAGCCTCACATCCGAAGGAGCCAGGCTACTGACAGCTCTCAGGTAGGCAACTGCATGCGAACCCCAGCCCCAAGACAAACAGCTGGGAGCCCGGGGAAGGAGCGCAACAGCCAGGGGCTCTCTCCTCACCCTCTCGCCTTTGTCCAGGGTGGATGCTGTTGGCCTCCTGGAAAATGATTTCTCTATTCATCTTACTTTCAGTGCTCAGATAGGGGGTGGGAGGGGAGGGCTGAGGTTTTTATCCTGAAGAGAGATGCAGAAGAAGAAAGAGCTGAACTTGGAAATGAGGAAAAGTTTTGATTCCCCAGATGTGGCCCCGACTATGTCGTTGTTATCTGCTGAGAAAAGGTGGATGCAGGAATGAGATTAGGTGAGAAGCAGGCACTAGGGCAGGGGGCTCGCCTTTCAGGGCACCCTTGTGAGCGAGTCCTCTATGTGGCTGACTTCCTTTCTTTCCTTCCCTCGGAGTGCATTCAGGCTGGTTTTCAACATACCACCGAACTTGATTTGGATTTGGGTTTTTCCGCCCTGAGGGAACCCTTCTCCCTTATGCACTGAATAGAAATTGCTAGTAATGATGTGGGGGAAAGTGGGAACCGGGGCGTTGTGCTCAACCAGTACAGTGCTGAACGCAGCCACTGTGTGTGAGACCACATAGATTTCTGCAGGGATGACCTTGGACTCCCAGACCCTGAATTATGTGGTGGTTTCTTCTTTTTCTTTGCATGTTTCTCCTCCTGCCCATCTCTCCCCCTTAACGGTCTCTGCTGAGACCTGCTGAATATGACGTTCAGAAGTCCTCCAAACTCTTGCTCTTTCTCAGCTTCCTTTTCTGTCTCCTTTGTGCGTCTCTCTCTCCCTCTCTCTCTCTCTCTCTCACATACTCTCTCTCTCTCTCTCTCTGCATATCTCGCTTCCCCTCCCTTCATTACCCATCCCTTCCTCCCCCCATCTCACTCTGAACATGGGTAAGTTCTGGGGAATTTCAAGTAAAGCAGGATGATTCGGGAAATGGACTATTTAAAGCAAGCTGCTTTGGACTTGAATACCCTGATCCTGGGCTTAAACATCTGTGTTTCGCTTCCTCGAGCAGCCCATAATTGCCCCAATTATAACCAATAACATTGTTCGGCAGACTAACAAAAGCTGAGCTTTGCATGGCATTTGCCAGCAAGCCTAAGCCAGAGTTTTCCACATAGGTGGGGGGAAAGTAACTGCCTGGCTTATTAAAGCCTCCCAAAGAAATTGCTCCCCTTTCTCACTGCCTGTGGGTGGTGGCTGTGCGCACACTCCTTTTTCGCATTTATAAAGTGAGGCCAGGGAATATTCAGTACACCCCCACTGATGCTGTGATACCTTGAACAGAAAGGATCGGTGTTCCTTTGGGCTTGCTGAGTCCTCTGCAGCGAGGGTGCCTGGAAAGACTGTCCTTCACCACCACCTCAGCGAAAGGAACAGCTTCCCCCGGGCCGTGGGTGCTGCCCCATTGAGGGCGCTGTGGTGCAGCCTGGGGCTTGCGGGTGCAGTTCTGTTCTCCAAGAGGCGGCAGCCCCTGCTCTATCAGCTGAAGGCTGAGGGTTCTCGGGGATTTAGAGAATGCAGGAGATTTTGCATTGTCAATGAAGGGAGTAATTGCAGGATTAGGCTCAAACCCGTGCTCTCTGGAGCTGATGGCAGGAGTGGTCACAAAGCCATTCCATATTCAATCCATCAGGTATTTATCATCTACACTCCACCAGGCAGGGGAAGTGGGGGGGGGGTGCTCTGGTGGATTCAACGGAGGTGATGATAACAGCCCTGTACATTCATACAACGATTTACATCTTCGCGCTTCCCCACCATTATCCCCAGCAACAGCCCGATGAGTTGGTGTCATTGTCTCCGCGTTGCAGTTGGTGAAACTGAAGCTGAGAGCTCAGCTACACACCGTGTCCGGAACTGAACTGGACCGAGCCCTGGGAGGACTGAGTCCAGCCTTCCTGGCCTCGGCACACCACCCCCTCAGGGCCAAGGGTACTCAGCAATTAACAGGGGCGAGGGTGGGACAACACAAACACAGGGAAACAATTAGAGGACAATGCAAGGCTGTAATCACGTCCTAAATTGCAGGGTCCGGACAGCGAGTGCTGGAGGAATTTGGAAGAAGGGGCACTTGCTCCCAAGATTCCAGGGATTCGAATTGGGTTTTGAGGGCTTCAGGGACGGAGGTGGCAGCCAGGGCAAAGCCACAAAAGGAGGGCAAGGGAATTAACCTTGATTGAAACCTACTATGTGTCAGGAAGTGAACTAATCTACATGCTTATTGCCCACTAACACACCCCCAACACACATGCGATGAGGATGTGAGGTTTAGGGGGAGTGTTCTATGGGTTCAGTGAGCCCCACCCCATAGCCCCACAGCTCCCGAAGCCCATGACGGAAACTTTGCAACTGCATGGGGAGGGGGGGCGGAGCTGCTCATCAGGCATCACAGGGAGGGGATGGACCCTTCTCAGAAAACAGGAGTCCTCCCAACAGCATCTTGCTGTGGTTTCAATGGCTGAGAACTCATTAAGCAAACTGGGTTTTCTCAATGCTTTTATTTCAATGCCTACAGGTGCCTCCCACTCTCTACCATGAGGGTTTCCTACTAACCACAAACCTTGAGATTTGGGGCACATCAACTTTGGGGGTGAGCCGATTTTCTGGGCGTCTCCCTAGACAGGCTCCAATCATGTTCAGTCTTGACTTTCTGTGATCTTGTGGTTTTTCAACTGTTAGCTGCTACCTCAGCATTGCAGAAACAAGGCCTGCCAAGCTCTGAAGGGCCTGGCTTGGCAGATGAAGTGTAAAACTTGCTCCTGAGGAGTCTAAGTCTCGCTGAAAATGTCAGTGAATCACCATACAGCCAAAGCTCAGAGCCAAGCTCCCCTCTTCCCATACTCGCCCTGTGCTCCCTTCCCACCCCCTTCCCCATTCATCATTTCATTCATTTAGTCCAAGAAATGTGTGTGACATTCGTGGTTGGAGCCTTGTAGTGCTCCGCTCCATAGGAACTCACATCCATGCAGCTGAACCCTAAAGAGTTTAGGCCAGTGGTCTTCCAAAGGGGCCTGGGTGGCCCCCGTGCTCCCCTGGGCTTTGGGAAACTGAAGCCTCATTTCTTGTTATCTTTCTTAATTGGCACTTTAGTGGGTTTTAGAATGTATATAACTATTAGTCAATTGGGAACGGGTGCTCAGAGCTCTTTGATTGCCGGAGGTATAAGGCTAAAGAAATCTGAAGGTTGTTGGTCTAGATTCATTGCTCTTTGGCTTATATGTATTTTCAAATCTTTTTGAAAGAACATTCAGTGATTTTAATATAAAACTAAATGAGGGGCGCCTAGGTGGCTCAGTCATTAAGCGTCTACCTTCGGCTCAGGTCATGATCCCAGGGTCCTGGGATCGTGTCCCGCATCAGGCTCCCTCCTCGGCGGGAAGCCTGCTTCTCCCTCTCCCACTCCCCCTGCTTGTGTTCCCTCTCTCGCTGTGTCTCTCTCTGTCAAATAAATAAATAAAATTTAAATTAAAATAAAATAAAACTAAATGAAAAATTTTTTAAAAATCCATTTAAGTCATTTTGACAGCCTATCTGGAACCGTGGGCCAGAATCAGGAAGATCAAAGTTCAAAGTGATACCTCCCCAGCTTTGTGGCAGCCATGATAGGAATTGTCTGTTGCCCCTCTCCAGGCCCTTCCTGAGCCCGGGCTGGGCTGTTCAGCCTCATGAAACCCTCTTCATCCCCCCTCCTTCCCTCCTCCCTTCTTGCTTCCCCTTCCCAGGAGAGCACAAATATCTGGCCACTTATAAAATAAAAACTACTAGCCATCTAACCCGGCTGCCTCTTTCTGGAGAAGGGGAAACTGAGGCCCAGAGAAGAAAGGGCCTTGCTCCAGATCCCACGGGTAGAAACAGAGCTGAGGCTGGAGCCCAGCACTCTCTCGTTTCTCAGCACAGGGCTCTGGCTCATTCCTTGCTCACCAGCACCAGCCACACTTGGTCTGCGTGTGGTGGGGCGGGGGACATGCTTTGCCCTCCACCTCCTCTATGCTCACTCCCTCCTTCCAGGTGGAAATTTAGAGCAGAAGGAGGACCTTTTTGAATGTGAGAGGAGGAAAAGCCACTAAAGAGGCGTTCCTCAATAATAGCCAATGAACGAGCAAACTCCAAACTCCAGTGTAGGAGTCCTGTGGACAATGGGTCAAAGAAATGAGACGTGTAGAAGACAAACCCCTGTGCCTGTGGTCAATGAAAAATTCCTCTACGAAAGAGAGGCAACAATAAGGGATGTTGCAATCAGAGAGGGGGCGCCCAGAGTTCTGGATAAAAGTGGTCCTTAGAATGAACTCACCTACACAAAGACAGACAGCTGCAGAGATCTCTGAGTGACCTAGTGAGAGCAGGAGCTTGGAAATCAGATGGGCTTGAGGCTCCCCTCTGCCACTCCGACTTCTTTTTCCTCTTCAAGTCTCTGTCTTCTCAACTGTAAAATGGGGATAATAGCACTTACCCCATAGGATGGATGCTTACAAAGCAATTAGCACAGGGCCTGGCACATCGTATTCTAAATATAATAGTAAGGTGATGACCATCAACGACAAATAGAGACTGGCCCAATGAGTCTCCACCAAAATTGGCCAACCCTTCCGAAGCAGAAGCAGTATATAGAGTGTATGGTTTCCCAGAACACACAGTTTGACGTCAACACATCGGAGTTTAAGTCCTGGCTCTGCTATTTATAAGCTGGATGATCTTAGGCAGTTGCTTAACCCCTATGAACTTATGTTCCTCTCAAAAAGACGTATATTATTAACCCTCGGTTCTAGGGTTGTATATGAATATAAAAATCTCTTGTAACTTGTAAAGAACAATAGTTGATGAAAAGCACAGAGACGTACGTGCCTCTAGCAGGAAGGCTGCCCCTCCCCCCCTTCTCCACTACAAGCACCAAAATTACAGGCTTTCTCAGAGGTCATAAGACAAAACTCAATTAACTTTTAGCTTCATACGTAATCCTCCAAACAGATAAGCAACTAATTATATTGCCCTGGGAAGCAAGATTACATGCAAATAGATTAAGGCTAAAACACAGTGGTTTTTTATCTTCATAAGCAACGAGGCACAATTAAATTTATGAGGTGTCATTACCGAAATAAGAGGTAATTAAGCATTTCTTTATTCAATAAGAGATGTCCAGATTATAGCAGCACCACATGGAAGTGTTAACCGAGCTTGGTTCACCAAGTGAAATTCAAGCCAGGTAAAATCCAAACGTATTTTGGACAGTTTTATTTACTGATGGTCAATATTCTTGCAATAAACAACCACCACCACCTGTCATGATCCCCATTTTGCAGTTGAGAAGGCAAACACTCTCAGGGAAAATAACTCACCCAGAGTCACACAAAGGGTAAAGATTAAATATAAATATACCCCATGAATTAATTAATTACCCACCTTCACCTTACTTGGCATTAATTTATACACAGAGCTATAAAAAAAAAGCACATCGATGTTGTTGAGAATTTCTTAAAAATGAAAAACTTCTATTGAGTTTCCAGTACAGTTCAAAATCTACCTTAACCTAGGACACAATGGTACTAGGTGTTGTGAGGAGTACCAAAAAGTACAAAATATGGCCCCCTCTGTAAGGATAATTCGATTTATTTTGAGCTTTCACTTATATTGGTCTCTTTGAAATATCACAACCTCGGAGACAGGCCTGTGTCAGTCCCACTTTAAGGATTCTTGGAATTGCAGAGAATAAATAGTTTTGTGTAGAGATGGGTTTTATTTTTTTATTTTTTTTTAAAGATTTTATTTACTTATTTGAGAGAGAGAGATTGAGAGACAGAGAGCATGAGAGGGAGGAGAGTCAGAGGGAGAAGCAGACTCCCCGCTGAGCAGGGAGCCCGATGCGGGACTCGATCCTGGGACTCCAGGATCATGACCCGAGCCGAAGGCAGTCGCTTAACCAACTGAGCTACCCAGGCGTCCCCCAGATGGGTTTTAAATAATAGGTGGAGTCGCTTGTTCAGAGTGAGGGGTGGGGGGGCATCGAGGGTAGGGAGGTTGGAGCCTGAAAGAGAGGTGTCCCATGGACTCACCGGGAGGGCCAAGCTAATGCCACGTAGACTCGAGAAGGTTTGCCAAGTGCCAAACCAAGGGTGGCTCACACTTTATATGCGGGAAGGCTATCAGACACATTTTACATGCTAAATGTCCCAGGGGCTCATCTTCTTTCTTCACCTCACCCTAAAAACCCATTTACCCAGAATTTGAGATAACAAACATCAGTCAATCCACGGGGCATTTCCTGAATGTGCAAGTAGCCGCAGTTAATGAGGTTCATGAAAAACCTCAGCCGGAGAGCATTTCATTAACTGCTGTCACAACTTATCAGCTCAGCCGATGAGAACATTCTATATTGCAATCGTGTATTGGGAAGGAACGGGTCCCTCTTCGCTACCCTCCCCTTTCCTCTGTGACATACAGGCACTGCCATCCTGTGGCCAGAGAGGGCACGGCCATGCCATTCTGGACAAACTCTACAAAAATGTCTCCCAACTAGAAGGACTGAAATTGAGTAGAATAAGAAATGGAAAGGCACGTCTCAAATTAAACAACAGACATATTCAGGCAGTCCTCAGTTTAAGACATGTGCTTATATGGTGGCTGTTTGGAATTCAAGACGCATTTTCTCTTCGAAAGAACCCGCCCGTGTGATGAGCTTCTATAGCTTGTGTACCAACACCTATTGAACCTGCAAACTTAGCATATGACACTATTCCAACTATGCCTCACAGCCCTTTGTAGCCAGTCTCCTACCGGAGCGTGCATGGGGCTCCAGCTGAGAATGGCATCTCGCCTCGCTCTGGAACGGCACTGTTCCCACTCCTCCCCCCTCGAACGGAACACTTAGCTAAGAGACATGCCATCAGTCACACAGGTCCTGAAGTGGCTCCTGTGCCATTAGCCTCTCGGGCCCCAGGGAGGCAGATGTTCCTGGACACTCCCCAACTCTACGGTAGCTAAGGAGAAGGAAGAATGCCCTGAGATACTTATCAAACATTCTGAGCACCTCTTAAGTGCCTCCTCAGTCTGTGCTGGGTGCTGAAAATACAGAGAACCGTAGAACGTGGTCTCAGCCCTTCAGAAGCCACTGTCCAGTGGGACAAATAGAGAAGTCTGAGTTTACAGTATGATGTCATAAGTGCCACGGGAGGGACAATGACGCTATTATAAAGTGAAGGCTATGTGTTGGGCTCTTCCTTTTATGAGCTTTTATATAGTACTGGTTATGTGCCAGGTGCTATTTTAACTGCTTACAAACCTCAACACATTCATCGCCATCTGAGACAGGTACTGGGATTGTCCAAGTTTTACAAATGAGAAGCTGAGAGGTTGAGTTGCAGATACGGGATCTGGACCCATTTGGTCTGCAGTGATGAGCAGATGAGAAAACACGAATCACAGCTCTGTGACAAAGGTCTGTTGTGCCTGTTTGACAGGACCCTGAGGCTCTTTTCCTTCCCACTGTGATGTGCTGCTTCACGCTGCCGTGGAAGCAGAGGAGATTCATCCAACTCAGGCCAGGGGTTGGAGCTGGCTTCCCAGAGGGGATAATTCTTGAGGTGTGTAGGAAGTATGACTTGGAGACAGGTATTCTGGGCAGTAGGAAGAGCGTGTGCCAAGATTCAAAGGCATTAAGGACAGGATAGAAATGGGAACTATCCGTGATTCACTAGGACCAGAGGGGATGCCAGTGTGAACAGGAGACAAAGCTAGAAAACACAGGCAGGAGCAGTATGCAGTCCCATTGGGGTTACAGATTTAAGTATGAAGTGACGTCATCAGATTTGGCGATGCCTTGGTGGGACGCCAGATCATTAGGTGAACTAATTAGGAGGCCATCACAATAACCAAGGCAATAAGTCTCAACTAAGGCACTGGCCCTTAGGATAGAGAAGAAAAAATGCGTATGATGGGTTTCTTTGTATAGGGATTTGTCTTCACTGTTCATCAGCCCTGGACACCCCCCATCACCTGTAGGGTAAAGCCCAAACCCTTTGGATGGCCAACAAGAGCCGGTTCCATCTGAGCGGAGCTTTCTCTTTCGGCAGGAAGCTTCACTTAGGGCATGTGGGCAGGTGGCCGTGGGACACCAGCCTGCTCGCGATCTCCTCACAGGCTGTGGTCCTAACTCCTCTAGGCTTTTCCAAAGGCTGTTTCCTGGGCCTCTCAGATGCCCCCTTCTTTGTCCTCTTGGCAAACTGTTACTCGTTCAAAACCCATCTCAAATGCCCCCTCATTGACTTAAAAAACGCTGAGCATCTTTTCGTGGAGATCCTCTTGGTATGAGATGCTTGGATGACACACAACACGGCCATTGGTGAGTTCAACTGCAGGACCCCCTTCTTCCTCTTATTGACTTGCTCCATTCCACATCCATCTTCTACCAGGGATTCTCAGACTTTAGCACGTGTTTGGATCACCTGAGAATCTTGTTTAAAAAGCATATCCAACTTCAGTGGTTCTGGGTTAGGACCTGACATTCTGCATTTCTAACAAGATCCCAGGTGATGCCGATGCTGGTCTGCAGGCTGCATTTGAAGAGCAAGGCTTATACATTTTCTCAGTATAGTCTGATGAAAAAGCAATAAAAGCAATAATTTTTGTTTTTCTACACCAGACTCTTTGTTGAGGTAAAATTTACATACAGTGAAATGCACAGGATTTAAATGTACAATTCCATGGGTTTGTACAAATGTATACACTCCTGTGACCCATACCTCTCAAGAACATTCACTACGTTGCCAGAAAGTTCCCTTGTTCCCCTTTCCATTTCATCCTCCAAGTAAAGAGGGACCCAAAATGATGCAGTACAAGGAAATAGCTTTCTGATTCAGGAGGCTTGATCCCAGGATAAATTTAAAGAGGGGCAGGAAAAACTACACATCGTCCAGGCAATCCTACATAAAGAATATCAACGACTGATCTACCTAATAATAGTTGGAGCTATTATCCTCGTGTCTCCATTCATTTTTCAGTAAAGAACTGCACATACCCGGACCTGTGTTTTGCACGGACTAGCGTGGTGAACATAGAGGCCCTGTGCTCAGGAAGCTAGCTCGCACCTCGCAGGGGAAGCAGACAAGGAGCCTGGGGGAGGCTTCCGGCACGCGGGGCATCCCTGGCTGAGACAGGGAAGGCTGGGGAGGAGGAGACAAAGTACACAAGTCATTCATAAATCTCACTCCTGCACGGCACTTTGCAAAACTTCCCTTAGGGATCTCCTCTCTTCGCAACAGCCCCGTGCCAAGACGGGTACGGCCATTCCCCTTTTATAGCTATGAAAACTGAAGCTTGGAGAGATCATCTAATGGTCACACGTCGGTAAGTTGCAACGTGAGGCCTTTAGCTCCCTGGAAGCGCTCATGCAGGTTGTGGCCAGCTAGGTGGCAGGAATCACAAGGGTGCTCGCCCTAGGAGCCCAGACACTAGCCCCTGCCCCAGCGGGAGGCCTGGCTGACAGGAGCAAGCCTCTTGTATCCTTGATGACCCACTCCCTCCTGGGAGGGGAATCTTGGGCTCTGGTGCAGTCCCCTCGGGGGCATCCCCTGTGTGAGGCCCCCACAGAATGGCTATTCTAATTGCCACCCACGCTCCCTTGTGTTTTAGCATTTTGACGCCCTGCTCCCTGCTCCTGCACCATGAAAATCCTGCTTTGTGATCTCCTGCTGCTCAGCCTCTTCTCCAGCGTGTCCGGCAGCTGCCAGAAGGACTGTCTGACCTGCCGGGAGAAGCTCCGCCCAGCTCTCGACCCCTTCAACCTTGAGGTAGGCCCTGGAGCATCCCTGTCTTCTCCTCCCTCCTTCCTCCAGACCCAGAATGAGAAGTCATGGCCTTGCCCAGAGGTCACATGACTCGCCTGGTGTCACATGGTCCACAGGAAACAGGTGCAGGGCGTTCCCATCTTCTAAGGGCAAACCCGGTCATCTTGCCACTTTTCCACACTCAGATAAAGGCCTGCCTGTGCTACCATTTTGTTCCCGTTATTAAAATAATGCATACTCATCTTGGAGAACTTGGCAAATTCCGAGAAATCTAAAAAAAAAAAAAAGAAAAAAGAAAATTACCTTTAATCCCACCTGTCAGAGAAAGAACCCTAGTTTTTTCACTTGCTATATTATACCAGCATAATTTCCCCATGTTATTAAACATTATTTTAAGTTCCTTCTTTCTACGAATACAGTATAATTTGTTTAACTATTCCCCTCCTGGTGAACATCTATATTGCCCTCCATTTTTGATATTATAGGTAATTCTACAATGAATACCTAATGCTCCCTTATACCTTAAGTTTTGAATTTGAGGTGCAAATCTGGCATTAAGTTTCTTTTCATTAAATAAACTGCCTTCTCAACTGCTTTCATGTCAGTCTAAATAGTTATTCCTCTAGTAAATCCAATATAACTCAATTATTTTTTTATTTGCAGTCAGACTTCTTTCATAAGATGTCATATTTCAAACCCCTCAACCTTTATTTTTTTTAAGATTTATTTATTTATTTTTAAGATTTTTTTTTTTAATTTATTCATTTGAGAGAGAGTGAGAGCACAAGCACGAGCAGGGGGAGGGTCAGAGGGAGAGAAAGAAGCAGACTCCTTGCTGAGCAAGAAGCCCAAAGCAGGGTTCAATCCCTGGACCCTGGGATCATGACCCGAGCCCAAGACAGATGGTTAACCGACTGAGCTACCCAGGCACCCCTTCTTTACTTATTTTAAAGAGAGAGAGAGATTGGGGGGAGGGAGAGAGGGAGAGAATCCCAAAACGGTCTCCCCACTGAGCGTGGAGCCTGACTCGGGGCTTGATCCCAGGACACTGAAATCATGACCTGAGTTTAAATCAAGAGTCAGCCACTTTAACCGACTGAGCCACCCACCCAGGCGCCCCTCAAACTGCTCAACCTTTAAAAACAACCAAAAGTAACTACTGTCCCTTAAGGCGAGTGTGCAAATATAGAACATATATTCACACTGGGCTAGTTCACTAACAATGAGCAGACACAGCCCCTACAGACCCAAACACCAAGCTCTTCCCGCACCTGCTCAGTGGTTTTCAAGCCTGTTTTCTGGAACAGTAATAACTACGGCATCATGAAGAGCATCCCCAGATAACCCATCCAATGTTTATCCATCCTTCTCATTCATCCGTTGTGGGTTTTTCTGAGCATTTACTATATGCTGAGCCCAGGGCCAGGCCAAGGGATCCAGAGGTAAGCAGACGGATGGAGTTTGCAACCAGTGGGAGAGAAGATCCCACAATCCCTCCAAGAGGGATTAATTATTGGGTGCTGGGGAAGCACAGAGCAGTGGCCTCCAACCTAGCCTAGAAAGACGAAAGACAGAGGGGGCTTTTGGGGGAACAGAAGTATCTAAGGAGACCTAAAGAGTGGGAGCAAAGAGGCAGGGAGAGTGCTCCAGGGGGAGGAGTCGGGGAGGAGCACCCGAGAAAATGTCTGTACCCAGATGGTAAGTGGCATGTAAGGAACCGAGAAAACTGAGTTTAGAACCCAGGAGGCCCACAGGCCTTTGCGGTGCAGCCCAGAGAGGTTTAGAAGTTCATCTACAAAACACTTTCCCCTGATCTTAGTAAACAGAGCAGACAACTTAGTTTACATGTCAACCAGTGACGAGTTGATAATGTGATAATCACCACCCTGCTCAACTCTCAATTTGCAGTCTAGACAAGACGTAAAGTCATGCACAATTCTGGAATCTCTAGCTTTCATGGCAGCCCTTTATTTCCCACTCAAAAAAAGCATTAGGACTTAAACAGATATTTGTGCACCCAGAGAGGGATCTACACGTGCAGCTTTGACCCCCTTGTGCTGCATCACTCCTTAGCTGCTGTCTCCGAGGTCCGGGGCCAGTTTGCAGGCTTCCTCCTCCTTGGGTCTCTTCCCCATTCCAACTTCTCTTTTTCTACTTCCTGTTGGGCTCCTACTCCCCTCCCCACTCTATAAACACAAGTGACCCCCAAGATTCGGGGCTATCTCCCCATGCCCTCTCCTTCTGAGATGCCATCCCTGGATCCCAGGCCTTCAGCTCTCCCCAGGCTTCAGGTGACTCCCCACGGTACACTCCTCGCCTCAGTCATTTTTCATGGTTCCTGACAAATCCCTCTTTCCCTTCCTGGCCTTCCCAAGGCTTCAGGAACTCGCCCCACCATTCTGTGCATGTCTCTCCCTCCTCCTTCATCCAATACTCCTACTTCAAAACTCAGATTAAACTTCACCTATGAGAACACTGTGCTGATTCCCCACCTGTCCCCAGCAGAGCCAGCCCCTCGCTCCTTTATGTCCTGACAGTTACTTGTGTCTGCTAGTGTCTCACCATAAGGTGTTTCTGATTGTGCTGGGGATGGCAGAGCGTGGCACAGAGCCATACTCGGAGAACATGGTCCATGGTAATTGTAAGACTGCAAGATCCTTAGTCTCCTGGTGGGTCCATCCTCTGCAGAGGCTGCAGAGTTTTTACATTGGTGTCTTCCAAAGCCAGTAAAGAATTTGGAGCACGCTTCCATCCCTCCCTTGCATCTTAAATCTCTGGGGTCCAGACGACGCTGCTAGATACTTCTTTGAAACAAGTTAGAATATGGCCAGTTAGAGCCTCACGGTGAGGGATAAATCTTTCAAAGTGCTTGCTGACCCTCAGAGGACCTGACTGCCTGGTTGTTGTGTTTCTAGTTTGGATTCACGTTTAACCTATTTTTAAAAGTTTGGTGAAATGCCTAGAATGTTGGCAACCACCTCTCATTCCAAATCTTGCAACCCTTTTCCAACTCTGTGAATTATGGGGGCTGGGGGAACTTAGATATTTCAGCAAGGACCATCTTCCCAATTCCTACACTAAATTATGTGATACTGAGCTATTCTCAGGACTCCCTAAATCCTCAGCTTTATCAAGAAGTTCTGTATTTCTCACTCCAGATCAATGGTCCAAATATGGCTGGCTTTTTGTTAGACTATAATTTGGGTCAGTAAATGACTCTACACCCAAACCCAATGCAATGTCTTGGGCTTCCACCTAATTATGAATGGTACTTACTCCATCAGCTTACATAGAAAAAACTAGATTCACTGAGTTGTTTCAGAGACAAACAAGAAGGTAACCCTCAAGGTCTGGGGAAATTTATTAACAACCTCCTGAAACTTGATTAATAGCAAAAGAAACTAACTTCTAGTGCTTTCTATCCTTCAATACATGAAAACTCTTACTCGTTGATTTGCAGTAAGAGTTCCTAATATGTTTTTCTCTTGCACTATTCGTCTGCTTGCCTACTAGTGTTAGCCCTCAGATATTCTAGCAGAACCTCCTAAAGCAAGTAGCTCCCAAATGTCTCCTGGTCAGAGGTGATTTGATTCTTTAGTGGCAAAAACTTGACAATCTCAATGAGCCTCTTATTTTCCTTCCAATGGGTTCATGTGCCTCTATTTCCCTAATGTTTGATCCCAGACCTCCAAATGGCCCTTTGCTCAGTTTCCCCACAAACCCAGCTTTACAGATCAATTTGGCGCCAGTCTGAGACTTTCCAGATGCTCATCCACACTCTGGCTTACTCTAGCAATGTCATCAGCGTGGGCTGTGAAAATGTGTCCAGCTCACTTAATAGGCCATTAACCAATCTCTGGAAAGAAGCCAGTGGGTCCCTTAGACCAGAGCGTTAGGCATTAAGCTCGTCTGCCCATCTGGTGCTACAAATGCTGTTGTGAATTTGGATTCCTCACATTTGCCCAAAACCTTCTCCTAAATCAAGAGTTGAGATGATTTTGTTAGTAGCTAATTCATCTAACAGTATGTTGAATCTCTGTACAGCCTATGCATCTGGTTTGATCATAGAATTGTATTTTCTCTGATTGACAGCTAATCTAATTACCATCTGGGCGTAGCAACCCAGGGGCTCACAGAAGATCTAATAGCCTCTAGGTTTAACAACCTCCACCTGTTCTTGTAAATGGAAGGAGCAGAATCATTCAAAAAGCATTTGGGGCTCCTATTCTGTGAGGAGTGGACCAAGTCTGCTCCAAGTCCATGTTAGCTCCAAAGTTGTACATTTCTGCTGGATTTCCCAGTACTCCCCATGCTTTCCTGTTTTCCCCTGACCCTGTCGAGTAGGATTCCTCACACCACTGTGGACATTTTAGGCTGGGTAATTATTTGTCATGGGGGGCTGTCCAGTGCATTGTGGGGTGTTTGCCAGCCTCCCTGGCCTCTGTTCATAGGTTAGCAGTGGCATCTCCCCACCCCCGGCCACCGTGTAACAACCATAAATGTCTCCAGACATTGCCCAATGTCCCCTGGGGACAAAATTGCCCCCACTAGACACCCACTGCTATAGAGTAATCACCCAATAGGACTACGATCTGAAAGATCGTACTACAACTTTTTCTACCTGGCTTACTTCAAAGTATTTCAGGAGCAAGCTAAACACAGACCCAAGTAACCCTTTCTCTGAGGGAGGCTCTGACCACTGTATTCCATGATGACACCTTCCTCCTCAGGGCAAGTTCCAAAGCAGGATTTCTCAAAGTACAGTCCAGCCTCAGAATCACCTGGGTGTTTGCTAAAAATGCAGATTCCAAGGCCCCACCCCGGACTTACTAGATGAACATCTCCAGGAGTAAAGGCTAAGGACCTGCATTCTAACAAACCAGTAGCAATTCTTAAAGAACACTCAGGTTTGTAGCTACTATTGTGTTAAAATCTGCCCTTCCCACCTATGTAGAAGTTGCTTTCATACCCAGTGACACTGGGGTGTGAAAAAGTGATTTCTCTATGTATCTCTGCTGAGTTGGCACCGATAATATTAGTTCTATCAGCATCTCTGCAGAAAATCTAAATGAAAAAGACATGCCCGTGACTTGTGTATCAGCAGGGACCACCGTCACTACCTCTGGCTAGTCGGGGCGGGGGGGTACTCGGCAAAGGCTGCACCTTGGAAACCGCATCAGTGAAGATAAGCGGCACTCCCACTGGCTACTGTCTCTTTCTCCTCTCTGGCCCAGCGAAAAATGAGCAATTTTCTCATCAGAACTTTACCTTTTAGTCTCGAAAGATCCTTACCTACTCTTGTACTCACTTGCACCAATTTGCATTGCAACACACAGAGCTCATTGAATAGGAGATGTCCTGGGTTGAAACTCGAGACATTTGGGTTCTTGTTCAGGTAATATCTTGTCTAATGGTGTAGTTTTGGACACATTACTGAACCTCATCATAACATGGGAACATGGACTATGTCAGTGGTTACCAAACCTAGGCAGATACCAGAATTACCTGAGCTTTGTAAAAGTAAGTTTAAATCCTGGTTCTATTCCTCAGGAATTTAACCAGCTTTTGAATTCTGTCTTTTTAAAAGTTCTGAGGGGCACCTGGGTGGCTCAGTTGGTTAAGCGTCCGACTCATGATCTCAGGGTCATGGGATCGAGCCTCCCGTCGGGCTCTGCTTCTCTCCCTCTGTCCCTCCCTGCCCCCGCTCTCTCTCTCTCACTCTCGCTCTCAAATAATTCCTGAGATGATCTGGATTCACACCCAGACCAAGCAGAAGAGCAGACTTAAGGTGGGGAAAGTATATTAGATAATTAAATTCACCTGCCAGTAAGAAAGACCTAAAGTAACAGTGGCTTAAATAAGACAGAGATTTGATTCCTCATAAGGAAGGTGGGAGGTAGACAGTACGGGGCCGGTATGGCAGTTCTGCCACATCACCAATGTCCCAGGCTCCTTCTCTTTCTACTTTACCTGTATACGGGTGCCACTCTCACACGGCTTCCGTCCCCTCAGTCACTTCATGGCTTCAAGATAGCCAATTGAGCACCAGCCAAAATGCCCACATTCTAAGCAGGAGGCTGGAGGAAGGGGAGAAAGAAGGAAAAAAAGATGCTCTCCCCAGATAAGTCAGCCTCCTGCTTTCCCGGAAGCCCCAGCTGGTTACTTCCGTTTATATGTCACTGGCCGTCTCTGGCTACAAAGGAGTTTGAGAAACATATGTGTGGCCTTTCTTCCTGAAGGAAGAAAACAAGTTGTTCTCTTAGGAAGGAAGAGGGGAGATGGGTATGGAATGGACAACTGGCAGTCTCTGCCCCAGAGGGAATTCTTAACAAATTGCATTTAAAGCGCTAGTCAGACACTTTGATGGAGATACCAGAGGTCAGAGAAGTGTTGGGAGTTCCGTGTCAGGTGCTGGACATACAGACATGGGATGCCCTGAAAGAAATGACCAAAATCACAGAAATGAACAGTCACCAAGGGGCAGACTGTAAAGAGAGATGGGAAGAATCTTAAAGATAGAATCTTAGGAACACGGGAGGAAGGAGCACAAACAGTCTGAGAGGTGAGTGCAACGTCAGAGAATTTTCAGGAGGGTGTGGTCTGCATTGCCAAAGGCGGCACGGTCTGTGAGAATGAGGGCTGATTGGATCCGGTGACTGGGAATTCACCGGTGGTCCTCGAGAAGGCAGTTCGTGGAAGATGAGGGCGGGAAGCAGATTTCAAGGAGATGAGGCAAAAATGGAAGATGCTGAGATGGAGGCATGAATGCAGTCCACATCTTGGAGAAGTTTGGCGGGGACAAAAGAGGGTCAGGGTCAGGGGTGGCAAAGGGTTGCAGGAGAAGTAGGACTGGAAGAGCCATTTTTTCAGGTTTGGTGGGACAGCTGTAAGGTGTGTGATTTAGCTGCATGCACATCGCACTCCTTGGTTAGGGTTCAGGTTGGGAACTTTGCCCATATTGGTATCTTTTCCACTCTGAACACGGGGGGCAGGGTTTCAATCCCCAGAAAGGGGATATCGGGCACACACACCAGTCTTCTGATGTCCTGCAGCTGTCCAGACAGAGCAGTAACTCTTGATGCCCCATTAGCCAGGCAAGATCTCCAAGTTTGATGAAGGGCTCCACGGCTGCCCACTGACCATGATGGCAAGGCCAGGTTGAAGTGGGATTTTCATCTGGCTGAGCACAGAAACACAGAGAAGCGTTCGGGGTGAAGCCAAAACAGCAGATAGTAAGAGAAGTTAGAGGTTAGACACTTCCAAAAGACCCAATCAGAGATAGGAAAGTGGGAGGTAGGGGCAAGGCCAGGACCATTCAGGAGGGCTGTGGAAACATCACGGCCAGGCTCTCGGTCTAGACTAGAAGTGGGAGACACCTGAAGAGACAGAGCAGCATCAGAAGTTCCCAGGGGCCTGGCAGGTCCACTGGATAGCATCTGATGGTCCCTCTTCCCCACCTGAACCCGATTGCCAGTCTGCCTACATTCCAAAGGGTCTTGACCCTCGTTTTCTATAACTGATGCACAGATAGTGATAACTAGTATATGTGGGATGAAAAATGACCACCACTAGGGTTCCTCTTAACATGGTGACCTTAAAATGGCCGTGCAGATATAAGTACATGCTTTGACGTCCTCAACTTCTTAAACCAATCTGACCTCTCTCAAGCCTGATAAGAAAACAAAATAAAATCCTTCTTTATGGGTGACCCTCGTGAGTTGTGTTTGGCTCCAAAAACTCAGCTAGGGCTCTAACTGGGTGGAGTTTAGGGCACTCATTCTGCGTTGACTTTCTGTGTCACCTGGGGTAAATTAATCTCACCTCTGAGCCCTGAGTTTCTTCATTTGTGAAATGACGGAGCTGGGACAGATAGTTTTCTGTGTCTCTGCAACTCTGAAATTCTATGAACCTGAGTAACTACATGTAAAACTGCTACATGGTCCTTAATAAAGAGATGCTTCAGAGTCACTTGCATTGGTACCAATGTGGATTTGGTATCCAATAGAAAGACTTTATGTCATTGCCTTGGACTAACAGACATTCCCAATCCTTCTCCTTTCTCCGGCCTCTATCTTTGCAGGTGTGCATCCTTGAGTGTGAAGGGAAGGTCTTCAGCAGGCCTCTCTGGACTCCGTGCACCAAGGTCATGACCAGGGGCTCCTGGCAGCTCAGCCCTGCTGACCCAGAGCACATGGCAGCTGCCCTTTACCAGCCAAGTGCCTCCGAGATGCAACTGAAGCGCATACCTCGCATCAGGAGCCTAATCCAAGCCCAGAAAGGGACAGAGCCTGGCATGGATGAGGCTGGAGAGATGGAGCAGAAGCAGCTGCAGAAGAGGTTTGGCGGCTTCACCGGGGCCCGGAAGTCGGCCCGGAAGTTGGCCAACCAGAAGCGGTTCAGTGAGTTTATGAGGCAGTACCTGGTCCTGAGCATGCAGTCCAGCCAGCGCCGGCGCACCTTGCATCAGAATGGTAATGTGTAGCTGGAAGGGGAGCCCCTCCCAGCTGCACCGTCCACTTCAACCCATGAGTGAGTTGGGCACAAATGAGCTGGGGGTGAAAAGAAACCTTATATACCCAACTGTCTTAGCCTTCCTCCTGGGCCTGGAAGCACATTAGCCCCCAAATACATACACACACACCCCACACCACCTCAAGGTGTTCAGCTCCTGGGAGGCCGAGGAGGTATATATTCACCTCCCCCACCTCCTACCCACCCTTTCTCTAGGGAGCAAAGATTTTCCTAGGCTTGTTCCTTAAGGCTGACCACTGCCATTTAGAGATTGGTTACCATGGGGATAATAGTAGCATGTTAAGATAACTAATTCCTCTATAGCTCTCCAGGAGCTCAGTTACTATGGGGACAGTTAAGTGGACCAATCTGCCTAACCAGTTGCCATAGCAACCATTCAGTTCACCTTTCCTCAGAGTCTGTCTCTAAGAACCCATAGCTGGACCTACCTCTAGTCATTTGCAGTCTGATTTCTGTGGCCATGATGTTGCTATTTCACCTTTGAAGACAGCTTAGCTCTCTCCTCCCCTACCCCCTGTATCTCAAGGGGACTGGATTGCACAGAAACCACTGCCCTTTCCCACTCTCTCCCTGTCAAGGAGTTCTTGTTAGGACCAGGAGTTACACTTTCAGCTCTTCTTCCTTCCACTCCTCATTTGTCCATCCTGCCACTTTGCCAGAGATGGACTGATTCCCTGAAGTCAATGGCATCATCCCTGAGCAAGGCTTGGAGAATCTGGCCCACCTGACCAAGTAGTTTTAGAATAGAGACTAACAGATCATCATCTTTCCTCACTTCCACTTCTTCCTGAGAGCCATTTTTGTTTTTGTTTGTTTGCTCACTTGCTTGCTTTTACTCCTCTCTCCCTCCTGTCCTTCCCCCCATGGGAATGCTTATACACCTACTATATTACAAATCAGATAATAAACAATCAAAACCCCTAATTTATTGCCCAGTCGTTATAAACTCCACTCTCCGCAGCCCATCAACCTGTATAGAACTTCAAGTGGCATAGGAAACTAGCACAATGGAATTTTCTGAAAATCTAAGAAAATCTCACCCATCAGGCATATGTGCCTTAATTCATGTATGGGAATCTGAGTATCTACAAAGCCTCGTACCTCTTCTTTAACAGTCTAGAAACTCACCTTAATGGAAAGAACTAATCAGTTGGCCAAAAACATTCCCCAAACATTACCCAAGCAGGACTTCTCCGAAACCTAACTCAGGGGCATTAAAAAAAAAAGAAAAAAGTCTACATGTGCTGTTTTATTTTGCTTTCCATATGTCAAAGGTAGCCAGATCATTAATAATCTTCACTCAAAGCGTGTTAATACAAAGGTTAATCTTTGGCACCCACACTTCAGCATGGGGGCAGCCCACGTAGCTCTTTGCAGGTAAGCGGGTTTGCAAAAGGCCCATTGCCAAATACAGACGTCGGTATTAACTTGTGAGGAGAAGGCTGCCATGTGTATTTTAGCAGAATGACTAATCTCCAAAGGCCCTGAATTAACCCGCACCGTTTTTGAAGTCATACTCTTGGATCCTTAACAAGCATCCTATTTCTTCCTAAGCCATATTTGCACAGTACCTAATACAGTATATCTTTCAGAAGTGGCATGGATTGAATTCTTTCAAATCTTAGACATTTATTCTTCTTAAAGTGGCTCTTAAGGGACACTGAGGCTCTTGTCTAATTCTGAACCACAACTATTTTACCTAAAGACAGTTTAAAATCAGTCACATTAGCAGGAATCAATTCATTAAAAAAAAAAACAAAAAACTATTTGAGCCCCTATTGAGACCATTGATTCTGCTAGTTTTCTATTAAGCTTCCAGCTGAGAGGCACTGAAACATAACTGGTAACTAGCTTCTGTCTGCTGCTTTGCTCAAGATGTAAAGTTCTTGACGGAACCATTGGAAACGTTAACCAGCTCATTTGGGTGTATTATTGATTGCTCTCCTTCCTCTTTCTGCAACCATCTCTCTGTTTCCTTTTTTGCACACATTCATGGTGGCTGAGTTCTAGCAGGGATATGTACTTACGAGTCCACCCCAAGCAGCTTAAACCCTGTCTTCACTCACCTACACACACCCCAACCAGCCCCACACACTCCAGAGATGTCTCCATTGGTGGGGGGATCCTGTTGCCGGGCTGTTCTGGACTTCTGAGATACCCAATACCAAACTATACTTACAAGGCTGCAGGAAGTGGGGCTTCCTAACACCGAAATGGGTAAGAACCCTATTTAGAAGGTGTAATGTGTTAGGAAGGAGGGACATTGAGGGCAGAGACAGTCCTAGACAGAACTGTGCAAAGGGGTGTCCACCTCCTGTCCGTTTCCCTGTCCCTATTCTTCTCTATCTTCTGCCCCACGCCTTGACCCTTCCCGACAGTGGAAAGTGAGCAGATTCATTCATCGTGAGGAATTGGTGAAATCAGGTTTAAAGAGATATATAAGAGAGCCATAAATGAGGACACTAGCCTCAAGAAATGAATTATTGCACATGGATTTCAAATATTAGGGCTAAGAGAGTTGTTTCTGGGCACAGGGCCTATGCTATGCCTCTCAAGTCTCAGCCCACAGACCTCCTCTTTATTCTGAGTCCTGCCAGTAGACTTGAGGCCAGAAAAAGCAGGGACATAGGGGAAGTTAGGGAACCCTACTTGCGGCTTCAGGAGCTCTTTATTCAGTTGATAAGCTTTTCATTGCCTCCCTACTATTGCTCAGGCAAATGGGATTGAAAGGTCAGAAAAACTACTGGGTTTGCCATTTTAATCATTTCTGTCTCCCCAGGTGTCCGGGTGATCCCCAAAACAGCATGTCTCCAGCCCCAGACCTGCCGGCTGGGAATCAGGACTCCTTCTTCCCCAAGGCACTGAGGCAGGCTTTGCCTCCAGGTCTCCGCCCCCAGGGCAGAGACCCTCCCTGTCCAATTGTCTTTCCCTCCCCATTCCCCCACCCCACCCCCATGGCATGTTTCATGACAACCTTGTTGCTACATCAGAGTGTATTTTTGTAATTCCTCCAGCTAACATAGAAACAGCCCCATTTTTCCTTCTCACTCCCCTTTCTTCTTCCAGGGGTGGGTCAAAGCAACAGGAAACCAAGCCTGGGGTTTTGACTTGTCACTGCCATAACTTGTTTGTAAAAGAGCTGTTCTTTTGGACTGATTGTTTTAAACAGATATTTCTCCATTAAACTTCTACTGAGCAAATGGTTAATAAACTGGTTGGCTATTTTTAAGTGAGGTAACTGAGAACTGGGCCATCAGAGCTGCCTCTCTTGGGAAGCAGAGGCAAAAAGCACATGGCTCTGCTTGCTATAAAGCACGACAGGCAAGAATATGTGAGCATAGGGTGCCTGGGTGGCTCAGTTGGTTAAGCGACTGCCTTCGGCTCAGGTCATGATCCTGGAGTCCGGGGATCGAGTCCCACATCGGGCTCCCTGCTCAGCAGGGAGTCTGCTTCTCCCTCTGACCCTCTTCCCTCTCGTGCTCTCTCTCATTCTCTCTCAAATAAATAAAATCTAAAAAAAAAAAAAAAAAAAAGTATGTGAGCATAAATACCCTGATTGTGCTACGTCTCCAGATCCAAGTGTGTGAATGGATGAGGGGGCGGGCAGGGTGCTCGGAACCTCCCAGTGCCCATCAGCACTACGGCTTGGGCAGCTCGCTGGGCTCCACCCCCAGTTTCTGACTCTGGAGGAATTTGCATTTTTAACAAGTTCCAGGTGACGCAGATCTTGCTGGTTTGGGACCACTGGATGGAGACACGAGGAAAAGGGCAGTGTCATTCTTATCTCCCAATTTAACATGAAACATGTTAAGGTGTAACTGTCAGGCCAAGAAACATATGGTGCACCCAGACAGGGTAAATGAGGAGAGTCAACTGTCTACAGTGTAGACGGGGTGATGGGAAATCAGTAAGAGAGGGTAAGGAGCTCCTCCGGGGAGTCCTGATGAGGGGGAGTTACTACTGGAACCCAGGGAGAACTGTAGCTCCCCCACCGCCCCATAGCTCTCAGTAGGGAAACGGTAGCCATTCAGACACTGTGTGGTGCAGGAAGGGCCAGGAGACACAATATCCCAACTTCTCTCTCCTCCGGCCCTTTAGACCCCAGTCTGGTCTCACCTGTTCATCAGATCCAACTGGAAGCTGGCAAGTTAAGGGTGCATGCATGCAGCCATTGAGGTGAGCATGGGCGGTGCAAATGGAGAATGTGCAGCCCGAAGTCACAACCGATGTAGAACGGCTTGGGCAGACTGTAGCTTAGCAGTGGATTCTACTGGGACTTTTCTTGGGGGCAGGGGCGGGGGATGGGGGCAAGGAAAAAGGGGCAGAAAGAAGCCCTCTGCTCTACCACAAGGTAACGGAAAAGGCCAGAAGAGCACCCCCATACCAGCTTTACCAGCTGCTGGGCTTGAGTGGATGTAATCCAGCCCTGGGGTCCGGGGGCATATCACTCTCTCCGTCAGGCTCCGTTAGGGGTCCCTAGGTCCCACTCCCAGAGATGCCTGTGGTCGCGGAAGCTAAAATTGCATACAGCAGTTCCGGTACAGCCAAGAACAGGATGTTACTTTCTGCTTCCCACCCAGACCCGCTTTATCTAGCCCTTTGGGCCATCACGGGACATGGAATCAATGAACTCAGGGAGTGCCCCGTGTTGCTCCCTGTAGTCAGAACCCATTCCATAAGCAGAGTATGACTTTTTCCTAAATCATCTGCCAACTCCTCAACAAACTCAGGAATAGAGCCAAGAACATGCTCCCCACTGTCCATATACAGTACAGAAAAATGCTTACTGCCTGGGTTACAAATCTTAGTGCCCTCATTTCCCAGTCTATGACCTCGGGTAAGTTCTTTAACCTCTGTGCCTCCCTCTTCTCATCTGTAAAATGGGAATAATAGTAGTAACTCTTTCATTGGGTTATTTAGGTTAGCACTTGGTTATTCATGTGAGGACTCGGCCTGGCCCCCCGGTAATGGTCCCTATTATTATAAGCTAATGAATGTATACGCCTGGCCCAAATGCCATCATTTGTTTACCACCACCACCAACAGTAATCTTATCCTTTATAGGGGGAGGGGGTAGAGGGACAGGCACACATTAAATGAGACAATGTACCATTTTATTCCTTATAAAATATATTTCATATTGTTGCTGTAAAAACATTACATTTCACATTTTTAAAAAAATTTTCTTAACAGTAAAAATAATACTTGGAAGACAGCTGGGGGAAAAGGCGCCAATAAGACAAATTCACAGATGGGATTTATCTCCCTCTTCTCCTTTTTTTTTGGGGGGGGGGGCCTGGTAAAGTCAGAACCTGGGAGGCCCAGAAAGTAACAGGACAGATTTCTTCCAACAAATGAAAGTTTTCCACATCCAAATTAATAATGTCCTCCAAGGAGTCAAGCTATAGGCTTACTACCACAATGTGGATATCGCACAAGACACTCTCTGAAATTACAAAATTGCTTTCACAGCCAGCTTAACAGCCACATAATTCAATCCAAGCTATTTTCCTCGCTAGTCAGTCCATGAGCTTTGCCCCTGTGATCTCACTTGACCAGAGACATCACTCACCGGTCTCTGCACTGAATGAGCATGGGTTCAGCTGTCCAAAGCAGGCACCACAGACTCCAAAGGTCATTCCGAGAAATACTTTGAATAGGGGTAAGATCCCTGTAATAAATGGTTTCCCCAAACCACTTCTTTTGAAAATCAGTCCTGTTAGTTTCAAATGCTCACCTGTGGGGCACCTTCCCTCCTGTCGGATTCTGCTGCCCAGGTGGGCTGGGAAGTAGGGAGAGACACAGAGATGAAGAAAACAGGCAAAATCGCTGATCAGTTCACAAGGCACCCCCACCCTCCAAAAAGAAACAACTGGGGCAACCCCAAGGACAGACCACATGTCAAGGACCAACACAACGGCCACAAGATGAAGGAGCAGGAGGGCGGAGGCCAGAGGCGGCCACCACCACCAAAAAGGAGCGAGGAGCAGATAGAGGGAAAGCTGCGCCAAAATAAAACATTAAAAAACATTAAAAAAAAAAACAAAACCTCAGTTTTTAAACTGTTTCATCCATTTCTTCTTTCTCTCTTCCTTTGCTGCCCTGGGTACCAATGACAGGAGAAGCCTACCTCACTTAGAGGAAATCTTTATAGCCAGTTAGAGCTCCATGGTCCAAACTGCGGGGAAAAATGAAAACGGCTTTTCTAGAGATTCAGCAAGAGCTGTGATTAAGAAGGGAGGGGAAGACGCTGCTAGGCAGAGTCCTCCCATCTCAAAAGCTCCCTCCCCTCCCCCAATAAGATCTGAAGATGGACAATGAGGGAAGCAACAACCTGCTGTCAGCTTTTAATGTTCACGGAGGTGGAAGGGAGCGGAAGGAGAACCCTGGGCCACCTCTTGCTGGCCTGGTTTTGGGCTTTAGGGACAGATTCCACGTATTTTTTTTTTTAACTAAGTTATAAAAATATACCCCATCACCACCTTCCCTCCGTCACCAAACCAGGGCACGATCACCCGTCACACACATCTAAGGTTGGTGGGTTTTCTTACACTCAGGGTGTCACAGATTGACAAGCACCTGCACAATTCCCACGCAAAGTGGCCAAAGGAGCCTCGAGAGCCCGGCATTTCCACCTGGGAATAAGAGGGCGGCCTCGGTGACAGCCAGGGGGTGGACGCTGCTGCCCAGCCCCAGGGTAGGGGGCTTGGTGGGATTCCTGAGCCCCCGACCTCTGGGATGTAGGCGCAGCGCTGGTGCCCCGGTGGACACTCGGCCATGCTCCTGCAGGCCTGAGGAACTCCCAAACAAGTCTTAAAATAAAGGGCAGCTCCAAAACAAGACGTGCCCTCCCCTGAGGGCTCAGCTGGCCTGGTCTCAATTCAGCACAGATGGGCAGGGCACTAAACAACCCACCCACATCTCCCTTCTCATCAGCCAGAATAGCTCTGCTGATTTCCTTCCCAAGCAACGCAATCCCCACTCCCGGCCCCCCTCGATCCCTGAGGGCTCCAGGAACAAGGGCTGAAGTGCCAGGAGTTGCTGATCCGACCCCTCCTCACAGGAGATCCTCATGGCTCTCTTACTCCACCCCACCCCCCCCACCGCCCCGCTGCCTGCAGGCCGGAAACGCTGCTCAGCAGATCCCTGAGAAGGTTCCTCAGCATCAAACTGACCTTCCCATCACGGGGACCAGACTGACACGGATAAAAACCCAGAGGCCGCTGACACTGATGGAAGAGTCCTGTCTTACCTGTCACCTCAGGAGGAAGACCGGATTCTCCCGGGACCCTCGGAGCCAACAGAACAACGGGGAACCTGCCAACTCCATCTCCATCGCAGGGACAAGCTGCCACTTACCTTTCTATCTCTTCTTGCCTCTCTCTCCCCCCCTTCCCCCGCACCAGCCCTAACTGCAGCCTCAGGAGGGAAAGGGACTGGTAAAACTAGAGACAGAGGGGCCTGCGCAGGGCGCACCCGAGGGGGGCTCTCACCCAAGTGGAAGGGAACTTCCATAAAAGGCTTCTCTGAATACACGGGGAAAGAACACAAAGTGTTTTAGAGGTGTCATGTCCGTAACTGGAGGGAGGAACATCAAGAGGGAGTTTATTTACTCAGGTAACAGCAGAGGGCTTCCACAGAGACTGAAACCCTCCAGCTTTTCCTCAAAGAAAGAGGGGGAAATGGTCAAGGTAGTGTTTAACTGCCACATTTTCAAAAAGTGAATTCATATAGCCTTTTGGCTCAGCTATTTGGGGACAGTCTTTAAAAACCTACTAGTCTGGGCTTTGAGAAGAAGCCATACAATATTTGTTGGGATGCAACCCAACAGCTGAGGGACCCCAGGTACAAATCGTTGTCATCAAGAAAGGGCTTTCCTTTTACTTCCACAGAAGCTGCACGGTGAGAACAGGCTCTCCCTTCTCCTAGATTCGGGTGGAGAAGAGGGGCCGGCTGCACCTTAAAAAGTGCACAGATCCCCCCCACTCTTCCCACCCTACCCAAGGCAGGTCCTGCTCTCGGACTCATCAGCCAGAAACTTTTTTTTTTTTTTTTAAGTAAATTCATCTTGCTCACAGTCCCTTCTGGAAGAGTTGAGAAAGCAAAGAATTCACCAACTCAGCAGGAAACAGAACGAGCTGTTCCGTCTTTTGATACATGCAAACTAATCCCCTAGAAAGAGACGTGGGAAAGGGAGGGTAGTTAATTCTTTGGTCTCTGGTTCACTGCAGAATACCCTTGGTCAGTTTTGGCTCTCTCCTATTTTTCGGGGGGGGGGGGGAGTATTTTCCTTTCTTCTTTTAAGAACTAAAATGTTCCCCAAAAGGGAAGGGGAAATGCTTTAACTATTGAACGTTAGACAACAGAGCCCAAACTGCCAATGTCCACTCTTTATCTTTTAGGTTTCTGCGGAGGGCTTGTGCCACGGCTGTCTTGTCATCTGGCTGCAGGGCGGGGCGCGAAGAGGACGGGCCGGCGGGACAGATTCAGTCCAGGAAGCGCTGACAGGCCTTCTTCCAGCGGCAGGCCGTGCACCACTGGTCCCGGTGCTCGATGCCGTACACCTTCCGGCACTTCTTAGCCTCCCCGCGGGCTTTCCTGTCACACAAGAGTCAGGAGGGTACAGACACGCCCTGGCAGGGGGAGGGGGGGACTTGGGGCGTGGCCGGCCGGCGGTGTGAGACTCAGCGAACCGGGCAGGGGCTGAAAAGCTGGGAGAAGCCAAAGCCTCCACCTGGCACCCAGTGTGTCCTCCCCCCGCCCCGCCTTCTCCCCCACACAGGGAAGGAACCCTGGAGACTCCGGTCGGTCGGTGGGCTCAGGGCCTGCACTGGCAGCGCGCAGGGTGGGGACGGAAGCCAGCGGGGAGGCCTCGGGATCCAACGGTCTCACTCACCTGGCACCGCTCTGGGCCCGAGGCGGGGAAGTAACCATCAGGTGAGATTTCCCTGCGGGCGGTGGCTGCTGGGGCTCGCTGAAGCTTAACGAGCGGCTCCGGACCTGGGCACAGCGAGAGGGGCCGTAAGCACAGGCCCGGGACCGGAGGGCAGGAGTGAAAGGGGAGAGAACCCTCCCGCAGGGCAGTCGGCCACACCTGCCGAGCCCTTCTTGGTGCCCGGAGGGCAGGACGCCTTCTCTGGTAAGATATTCCAGGTGGAGGTGGGCAGAGTGAGGGGCAGGCCTTTTTCGATAGAGTAGGCGTCCTGGGCAGGGGAGCCTCTTTACTGGCCACCTGGCGGGCTGCTCCCTGCAGATTTAGATGGAGTCACCACATGGAGAACAAAGGAGGGACTGCACTGCTTCCGTGGCACTTTCAGACACTCAGGTTCCACAGTGTGTAAGACCTTCCCGTAGGAGATAACTGAAGACCACGACCCACTAGGGGGGGCCCAGAAGGACTTGGGATTGATATTAGTTCAGAGGCAAGCAACCTAAGGCCATAGTCCACCCCACGCAGGGCTCCTACAAGCTCCCATCTTCTGTCTTGGTTACCTTCATCCTCCCCAGCTTCCCCACGTTCTCTCCCTTCTTCTCCCCTGCACACTGAAACTTTAACAAGCACCCACAGATACCCAGGGCTCAGCAGGGCACTGACCCCAGACTCGTCCAGTGACTTCCCTGGCAGTAAACGGTGCTTGATCTGGGTTCTCCTGTGCACACACCCGCCTTGCACCTCCTAGGAGGGGCCGTGAGCAGCTGGGGAGTGCGAGGCAGGGGAAGAGGAGGCCTTGAAGAAGTCTGGGCGCTGGAGGCAAGTGGGGAGGTTGGGGGGGGGGCGGAGAGGGGATGGCCTCCAGCACCGGTACTATGTGGAAGAGCCTCAGGCTTGCTCCGGGACCCCCAAGGGTGCCCACGTGCTCAGAGACAGGCACACTCACCGGGGAGAGGGAGGAGGCCGTGGAGGGGGCAGCAGCCCAGCTAATACTGGTGTAGATGTGTGGCGACACGGGGATCTGGAAGGACGGCAGGGCCTGTCGGAGACAAGAACAGGTCAGCCTCGGGCCCGCTCGGGCAGCGTTCAAGTCCACCCACACTCCCTCTAACTTCACGGGCCACAGCAGAGTACCGGCCTCCGCGCGGATGATACCAGGACACACTCGAACGTTCTGCCCGAGAGAGAGAGAGAGAGAGAGAGAGAGAGAGAGAGAGAGAGAGAGACTAGCAAGCCCAAGTCTGTGAGCTACTCTCCTTAGTCCCAGGCTCCAAGCTCTTTTTGGATCCCTTCTCTCAGAGCGGGTCTTTGTGCCGGCCTCAGGACTGAATCATCAGCGTGGACCAGCGTCTCCGCTGGCTCACCCACCAAGAACACGCTATAGGAGTGCCCAAAAGAAGTCTGCACACTTTCTGAGCATGGGCGGTATTGCCGCACAAAGTTTATGGCGTCCCCGGAAGGAGCAACACGCTCCTGGATGTCCGGGTTTAGGTCTGTTCGTGAAAGCACCAGCCGCCCTCTCTAGGTCCCAGCTCGAGGGTCAGCCAGCTGCACCAAGGGCCCCCTGAAGTTGGCCACACGTGAACTAGCCCACAGCCACTCATTCTAATGAGAAGGAGAGCTGGCTCATCGTGTAAAGGCTTTCTGACTGAAAGCACTGCTTTTTACTTACTGACTTGTAAGTCTGCCTAGAGTCTGATAAAACCAAGCTGTAGGCAGAAAAGAATTTCTTTTTTAAAAAATGGCACAAAGCGGGCTGTGCATTCCGAGTACCACCTATGTGTGGTCAAGGTCACCCTACAGGTCACCCCCTCCATGACAACGTGCCCAGCCACACAGGCACAATAGCTTGGTTCTTCCTGTACCCACAACAATTTCTCCTGCCTCTCGTAAGGTGCTCTGACTATTGTAATTAATCAGACTTATATATTCATTTCTCTCTCCAGCTAAACCATGCACTTCACAAGGTCAGGGACTATGTCTTATTCTATTTGAAAAGCTAAGCCCAATGCTTGACACATAGTAGGCATTCAAAAAAAAAAAAAAAAATGGGAGCCGGGTTGTTTGTTAATGTCACTCAACTTTAGGAGCTAGGATTTACTGTGGGAAGCCCAACTACATGACTCCATGCCCTCGTATAACCAGTGACATAACAATTCACCCAGCTACTCAGGGATTCAGCCAGATTTCTAGTCACTACTCGTGACAGCCACCGATGTAGAACTCTGGAATTCCCACATTTATTGTGAAGTCATTTTCCTTTTCTTCTCTGTAGAAGTTAGAGATTAGCAATTCAGCGGAAGGCCTCAGCCTCCAACCAGGGTGGTCAGTGGCCTGTGATCAGGCTGGCCAGTGACAGGTCAGACACGGAACATCCTCGCGGCCACAAGGCTGAGCCCCCAGGTGTGCCCGAGCCCCATACCTGGTACGCATGGTCGGCCTGAATGTGCCAGAAGGAGCCAGGAGCTGACTTGCTGAGAGCTGCACCCGAAGGCAGGTAAGACTCCAGGCCAGGGTGTTCTGGGCCGGAGGACTGGGTTTTGGGAGGAGGAGGCGGAAGGAGAGCAAGGGGCGGGCTGGTCATGCCGGGGGCGGGAGCTGGGTCAGCTGTAGGCACGCCGGCAGCAGCAGCTTCCTCCTTCATCTGCACCTCTGTGTAGTAGAAATCTTCCTCCCGCTTGAACTGGTCCGAGTCCACAGTGTCCCTGTGAGGGAGGGAGATGCGGTGATGGTCAGTTCTGACACAGGGGACACCGTGGCCCAAGAGGGACAGTGCTTGCTCAGGCTGACCCGGCCGCGTCAGGGAAGGGGCCCACGAAAACGTTCACCCAGGGGCCCCACTGCTGGTGCAGCGTCACAGAAGAGTGCATGCCTGCACATCAATGGGCCTTGTCTTTCCCGGCACCGAAGCCTCCTCCTCGCACATGACACGTACACACCCCCTCCTGCCGCAGTCATCTGGCTCTGCCACGGGTCCTCTCTGGGCCCCCCCACTCCGCTTGTGGTCACACCTCTCCGTCCTGTGGGTCCGTTTCCACTGCCATGAGCAGCCCTGGCTCCAGGGAGTCAGAGCTAATGGAGCCCCCGCTCCCTGAGGGGAAGCAGGTACAGAGCCCACAGTGAGGTCTCCCCAGATTACCCAAATTCTACCCAGAGCTAAAACCTCTTGCTTCCTATGGTGAGGTGGGCAGACACGTCCACAAGATGGACAGAGTGCCCTTCCCAGGAACAGCATCACCATTCACCACAAGAGGAGGGCCCTTCCTTCCCAGCAAAGATCTCTTTCCAACACACTCTTCTGCCGGGCACAGACAGGGGCCGGGAGAGGCACCAGGTGGTGTTCTCAGCAAGTCACTTTCTTCGACCATTCTCGGCTGTGGGTCATGGGGGAGGGCGGAGGAACGCCTGAGTGGGTCCCCAGGCAAACGGGCCCTGGGCCCAAGACCTACCCCAGGTGGAGGGCTTTGACGTGTCGTTTGATGCCCACAATTGAGCGCAGAACTTTGCCACAGTTTGGCCACAGGCACTTGTACATCACCTTCACGGAGTTCTAGGAGAAAGGAAGATGGGATCGTTGGGAGAGGCTCCTCAGCCTCACCCCGCAGGGACTTCGGCTGCCCTCCAACAGAGCCCAACAAAAGGCTCTAGGGAAGGGACTGTCTGGGACCAGAGACACGGACAGGCAGGGGCAGAGAGCCAGGACCCAGGAGATGGTCCTGGCGTCAGCAGCAGCACGCGGTGCTGCGGTTAAGACCCCATGGGAGGTCTTATGGGATCCCTATGGGAGTGCCGTGAGGAAGGCAGGGCTAGGGCAGACGTGAGCAGAACGGGCACGACAGAGGGGAGGAGTGGGCCCCTGCGGACAGCACGAGCGAACACGGGAGCAACGGGAAACGAAAATGGGATGGAGCCTGAGAGCACAGACGACCCGTGGGGTCCCCGCCGCGCCGCCGCCGGCCCCAGGCTGAGGTCGGCCCCACACCCTACCACATACCTTTCTTTTGCGTGGAGCTGGTTCATCCAACAGGAAAGCATCCGGGTCGGTCTCAAATCCGTTATCAGTCTGGGGAGAACCGAAGGCATCCCCCAAATACTTGGGGCTGGCCTGAGGATGGGGGGGCGAGGGAGTGGAGAGGCCACTGCCGGCGCTCCAGTGCCCGCTAGTGGTGCTGCTGCCGCTGTCGGACACATCCCCGCTCTCCTTCCACGGGTCACAGGCTGCTCGTGAAGCTGAGCGGAGAGAAGACAGGCGGCGCTCACAGGCCGTCCCCCGGCTGCCAGATTCGGACCAGCAGCCCACGTCGGGGACCATGAAGTGCAAGTCTGGAGTCTGGGTTCCTGAATCCAATCCCTGGCTCTGGCTCTGCCACTCCATGGTGGGCGGCGGAGGGGGTAAGACCCCCCCCAAAACCTCTCCTTTCTGAGCTTCCCTGAAGTAGCCCTGCTCTGTGCTAGCAGACACTTCCTACCACAGCCACGCTGATAATCATTAACCAACAGACACACGCTGCAACTTTGTTTTATAGATTACTAATAGAAAGACAACCTCATTAAAATGTATTTCTCACTTTGTATGCTACAAAAAAAAAAAAAAAAACAAGCAGGGGAGAGTAGGGTGTGGGGTATGGGGTGTGGGGCGTGGGGAGGGGAAAGTCCCTCCACCTGCATCTAGGCCTAGAGCGTAGGTGAGAACTTGCACAGAGGAGCGTGCGGAGTCTCCCTTGGGACCCTTTCCCAATAGCAGAGTCGGGTAGAAAGGCCGACTTGAGGGCTCCGTGGCCAGGCTTTCTTGAAAAATGCCTTTTGATAATTAAAACCCAGGCAAGGACATCAAAACCTGCGTGTGGAAGACAATCCCACTAGCTAGCTACAGCCCAGTGAGTCCTGCCCTCACCCACAAGTCCCATAGCCGGAGAAGGCAAGACAAACTCTGAGAGTAACTTGGACTGATCACGAGCTGACGTGGAGGCCCTTCCACCCGACACGGGCCTGCACCCACCGCCCTGCTCCCAGAAGTGCATCTGGACAGGGACACGGGTGAAATTCTCAGCTTCTATATGGCCTGTCTCCAGGCTGCTTTAGGCCCGACCCAGACTCTCCCTGCCTAGGCCATAAATCCGGATTGATAGTAATCTGAAATTCTGATGCAAGAGAAGGGGGGCAAAGCCTGTGACATATGTAGGTATGGTGGCCACATCCCCCGAAGCCCCAGCTGCCAACAAGGACAGGTGTTCCAAGGAGCTGCCCTACCCTGGATTCTGAGACTGACTACCACATCCCCTGGGGCAGCATAAAAATCCTACTGCTTTTCTGTCATCCTGCTCCAGATCCCCAACTGCTTCTAGGCCCATCTAGACATCTGAAATAGACTCTGAGCATTACAGGTTTCCAACGCAGGCTCTCCTCCATGTGAGGAGAAGCCCACCCAAACTGAATGGGATGGAGGAACTCTTCCCTCCCTAAGTTATCACTGTCAAGTCTCAAAGCTCAGACTTCTTAACCCACAATTTCAATATGTACACATAGGGCTTAACACAGGATAGCCCTTCGGGGCACCTGGATGGCTCAGTAGGTTAAGTGTCCGACTCTTGGTTTCGGCTCAGGTCATGATCTCAGGGTCCTGGGATCAAGCCCCATGTCAGGCTCCACGCTTGACGGGGAGTCTGCTTGAGATTCTCTCTCCCCCTCTCCCTCGGCCCCTCCCCACCCCTGAGCTCACTCTCTTTCTCGCTCTCAAAAACAAATAAATAAATCTTAAGGGAAAGACAAAAAACAGGGTAGCCCTTCAGAGAAGAACTCAGGAGTCACCAACAGGCCAATGGGTCCAGGGCCCACACACGTCTACTCAGGAAACCTTTTGGGGAAAGAAGGGTCAGGGAGCAGAATGCTACATCTAGTGCGATCAGGACTCTAGAGAAAAAGGGTAGGTCAAACAGCAGGCCAACCCTACAATACAACAGCCTTCCACAGAAGAACCATTCAAATGGCTCAAATGCTGAAACTGGCAAACTGACTTACAAAGGAAGAAAAATTTAAAAAAACGAAACACTTAGTATCGTAAGTTAATCTCTAAGTTATAAGATAAACATAAATGACTCTACCTTAGATCAACAAGATCTTCTACGGCAAGGTTAAATGGTATTCTACACCATTTGTACTACAAATACAGAGCTATGAGAGTTTACAGTGAATTTCTAAGAAATATTTATAATCTCCTCTGTTCTACACACACACATACACACACAGCCAGCCTAACAATACAGAGAACAAAGAAAATAGGTGGTTTCTGTGCAAACAGTACCCAAGACTACAGCAAGGTACAGACCTCACCTTGCAGAATACTTCAATACCATTAGCGGCCAAGAAAGCCTTATTTCTCCACTGACTTCGACCATAAGATCAGAAATATACTGTCGTGGGAAAAAAATCTTTAATAGATGATTAAAAATGCTTGTCCAACAGGGACCTATGCTATCAGGATCAGGCGTATTATCAGTCAGCTGTGCATATGCTGGTGTCAGGCTGTGTGTGAACAAGTATTTATGTATGACACATACACGTATCGCACACACCCTGATGCGAACTGGAGTCAATGATTTTCCCTTTATGACACTTTCCTGACCTTCCTCCTGCTGACAAACCTCCTGGGTCTCCTAAACTTGTAGAATTTCCTGAAAACGTAAAACTGACTCCTTCCCTCCCCGTTCTGCTTGTGCAGCTCCCAAGCACTAACTGGAGCAGGCGTGCGATGCTGAGCTCTGCCAACTCAGTGCCGCCCAACTGCCTCAACTCACCCTAGCAGCCTCGGCACTGACCACAGGCTCTGGGTGAAGACAGGAAGCCTGCCTCATTGCTCCTTTAAATTCACCATCCATCCAGGGCAATTCCTCATGAGGGAAACCTGCAAAGGCCACTTTCCTCCTGGCACGTGCTCTGAGCGAACTCGTATTTTCCCCTAAGCTTTTAGGTAGCTCGCAATTCAGTTAGACGTCACCAATGGAGACAAAGTTATTCCTTGGGAGTAAGTTAGGCCAGCCCTGTAATGAATTTCGAAAGAACTTCAGGTTCACTACCGGTCTCGTCAAACTACTGGCATCCAGCAACCCCTCTTCCTCCCGTGTTACAGATAATGTATTTTGGGCATCACGCCAGAAGGATTTTCTTTTAATTGAGAAGTTTGCTGTGCAGTCGTACTATCGCTTTGCATTAAGCAGTTCGATTTGTTAGACAGACTTCAGCTCGTGCATTCCAGGTCCTTGGCCTGTAGGCCCGCACTGATTTACAAGGCTGAAGTAGGCACTTGGAACGGGGGCATGAATCTTCCGAGGCCACTAGGGGACCATTTGTTAGCTTCCCCTTCATGAACTAAATATTCCTCAACTGGCCTTGTTCAGGCCCCCACCAAAGTGCCTCGCTCACTTACTCCCATAGAAGAACTTACTCGAGTGGCCAGTGTGGCTCAGCCTCGTGCTCAATCATCTTCACAATGCACCAGGAAACTCCTCTCCAGCTGAGGAAGCTGAAGAAAAAGAATGGAAGCCTCTAATTCAGTGTCACTCAGCCAGTCTGAGGAGCTAGTGAGAAGAGACCCCGGCAATCCTACTGCCAGGCAATGGGCTGGTCAAAGCAGAGGCAGCGAGGGGCGGGCCTGCGCCACACCCAGTAGCCGCCAGGGGGCCCCCTTCCTCACCAGAGAAGTTGGCCTCGGCCCCAGGAGGGCTCTGCACGACGGGGCTGCAGGACAGGGACGTCAGCACCATGGCCGCCATCATCTCATCCATTTCCACTGCGTCGGACTTCCTGGATTCAAGTGGGTGAGTGCCAAAGGTTACTTCCTGACACAGCGGGGCACGTGATCAGCTCACACTTCTGGACTGTCCCCTCCATGCCCCCACTCCAATCAGCCAGTGTGCGTGCTAAATAAAGCATGAAGGTCTCTCCTCATTCTTCATGAAAAATACCCATTTGGAATTGCGTTTCTACTATCAGTCAACCCGGGCGCAAGCAGGTCGGTCCCAGGCCACTGCGGACACCTGGAGGCAGCTCCATTCTCCCCTACATTCACATCGGACCTCTCACTGGGGCTTAAAGTCAGAACTTCATTCAGGGTAAAAGAAGAGCAGAAGCCATAAAATCAACCATGGGCATAAAAGATGCCTGCTGGAATTCAAAAGCACTAAAATTACCTTCCTTTCCCAGTCTTCTATTTAAATTGAAGAGGGAGCAATTACACTAACCAGTTCCTTTCCCCTCCCCTGAGAAAAATGATGAGGTATTCTGATGGCTTCTGAACCTAGTACACAAGCCAATGAGCAAGTAAACCAGAAACACTAAAATAAATCTCCTGGTGTAAATCTTAATGCTTTCCACAGCAGAGTTCTATAAAATTTTACATATAATTTTTTTTAAACCCATATAAAGTTACATTATGTGGACGTAAACTTAGAGCTGTCTGTAAATTACCGCTAAAGTATGAAAAGTTGTTCTGAAATAAATTTCTAGGTGGCTCATCTATTTCAAAGGGTTGTATTAATTCATTCTTCACTATTCAGATCCACTGAAATATGCGACTGGGTTGGAAGAAGTTAAACCAAGACTAGTAATATACTAAACAAATTAGCATCCCCTTTTTTGTGTGACCTTTGAATACTTATTTCTGTAGAACAGCAAAACAATTTCTTTGCCGGCACTCCACTGAATTCACAATCAAAAATTATTGCTCTGGTCTGGTCTGGTCTGAAGACCCTGGATATACTATATCAGTAGTACCCACGAACACAGAAGGAGAGGTGGAATGGGGCCTAACTGCTTGCACATCCTCATTTTCCCTCTTGATCTAAAAAGATCAATGTACACTATAGTACATAATATAGGAATTAGGAGGCAGATATATATTCTCAGGGAAAAATTGTATCATAAAATTCTAAAGCAATATATACATTCTTCAGTCATCGACGGTTTTGAATATCTAAGTCAGGGGTCAGCAATCTGTGGGTTGTGGGCCAACACGCCCTGCTACCCGTTTTTATATGGCTCGTAAGCGAAGAACGGCATGATTTTTATATGGTTTTAAAAATCAAAAAGAATTATCTCTTGATACATGACACGTGAAGATTATATAAAATTACAATCTACGTGTCCATAAGGAACGTTTTGTTGGGGCGCAAGCATGCCCCGTGTTTATGTGTCGTCTGTGGCTCTGACACTGCCACAGCGGAGCTGAGCTGCCAGGACAAAGACTATCTAGCTCACAAAACAACGTGACTTACTGTCTGGCCTGCTCAGAACAAGTTTGCGGACTCCTGATCGAAGCCATTTTTTCCTGTCTCTCATCATGAAAAACTACTAATTTTAATTTAAGGATGAAGGGGGTAATAGCCCTTGGCCACACCAAAGATGTACCACCCATAATAGAGCTACAGGGAAGAAAAGATCCCATTCTGGGTTTTTTGTTTTTAAAGGATGCCCCCCTCTCTGTATCCCATTTGCCCAGTATCTTGACAACTAGACACCTAGGTCTTTCATGTTCCTTCTCCATCACAAGCCAGCCCACAACCCCATACCTCACCACCGACACAACTTTCAGAGCCCAGAGCCCAGGTGCTCCCACACAAACCTCTTTGGGACATCGATGTTCCTGGAGACAGGCCTGTAGGCTGGTGCCTGGGTTCCCTGCTCAGGAGGAGGTGCCTGGGGCACAGGGCCCTGCAGCTCAGCCAGCCACACCTCCTCCGCTTTACAGCAGATTTGTAACTTCTGATCCAAAAGCCAGACAGTCACCTTATCCTCCGCCCAACTATGCTGCTCCACCAGTCCTGTGCTCTCCTGACCCCCATACCACACATAAACCTGTGGGGGAGAAAAAGAGCAACCAGTGGTCAGTACGTGGTAGTTCTTACATCATATGCCCCAGTTCTGAGAGCCAGGATCCACCTGCATCTCTGACTCATTTTTGATTCAAGCAGATGCTCCCAGGTACCTGCTTCCCACCTGAGCACCCAAATTAGCCACAGTGGATCAGTTCTTCCCAAAACAGAGCCTTATAAACTCTCTAGACAGAGCAAACGTGCCAGTCATCTTGGAATCTGTGTACAATTAAAGTTAAGTTGTTAACATCTTGAAACAGACTGTTACAATCAAAAGATGTTTTCTGTAAGCTTCATGGTAACCAGAGAGAAAAAACCTCTAGTAGATACACAAAAGATATAGAGAAAGGAATCAAAGCATAGGACTACAAAAAAAAAAAAAAAAAAACAACTCACAAGGAAAGCCAGTAAGAGAGGAAGAAAGGAACAAAGGAACTACAAAACAGTCAGAAAACAATTAACAAAATAGGAAGTACTTACCTGTCAATAATTGCTTTAAATGTAAATGGATTAAATTCTCTAACCAAATGAATTTGGAATCTATACCTACCCTCTTGATGACTTGCTCTGTCTTGCCCTTGAAGTGCTATGTATCTGCTGCCTGTATATATCCCCAACTATGACCCTGAATAGATTAACCCTGCATTTTTCCCTTCAGAGAATTCTAAAGTCTACCCGGGGCCAAGATGGTAGGGGTGGAGAAGTAAGCTGCCTACTCTCAAGGGGTGCCTAGCAGTTGGCAGGTCACCTTATATCATGGGAAGAAAGACCTGGACAACACAAGCCTCAGCAGGAGACAGAAGGTAGAGTCTCTATGGGCCCTTGAGAAGGCAATGCACTTGGACCTAGTGATTGTGTCAGGTACAGGGGATGACTGGGCCCTGCCACAAGGGGAGGGAACACTGGAAAAGGAAATCCAAATGTCATTCTGACTAAACACCTTTGCCTCTTGAAAATGTCTAAAGGCAATCCAAAGACGCAATATTATCTGTCTCTTACAAGCGTAAGATTCTTGTTTGGTCAAGCTGGAAACGGAGGCAGATTGAGAAACTGAGCCCTTGTCACGCTTGGAACTGAGGCTTTGAGTAGGCCTAAGTCTGAATTAACAGATGCCAGAGAGCACTGTCATGGAGGAACCCTGGGTCTGCTAATGATGGCTCATACTCTAGGGAAGCCTGCTTCCCAAGGGCCCCACAGCTGCAAGTAAAAGGTCTGTGCACAAACTGGTGCCCAGTGAGTTTCTGGTCTGCCACTCAGGGCACTGCTGGCCTGCCAGCCCCAAGCCTGGAGAGATCAGACACCTGTCCACACGGGGATCAACCTACCTTCTGCCCAGGCTGAAAGGCCACTTGCTGGAGGCCTGAGGTGCCAGGAGGCTTGAGGATTTCCTTGGGCTGCTCCTGACAGGAAGTGTCCTTGGAGGCGAGGAAGTGCTGGGGAGCCGCCCCTTCCAGCAGCTCAGTCTGAGGCTCTGAGGGTGGGGCAGCCCCGGGGGGCCCCAACACCCGGGCTCCCAGGAGGGACCGCTTCCCAAGGCGCCGGGACAGGACGCTGGCCATGCTGCTGCCTTTCCTGGGGAGGCAAAGGGGACAGAGTCCTTTACCCATTATCTGGAGGGATCAGGAAGCTTTTACTACAAGGCCCTGTGTGCAGCAGGAGTCTATAAGTATCCATTAAAGTAGATGAAACAATTTTAAAGTAACCTCTACAATTCCTTTTCTTTTTACACAAGTAACAGCCATTCCTAGTAGGACATTTACAAAATACTGGTAAGCACAAAGAAAAATAAATCACTCAAGATGCTGCCTCCCAGAGCTACCCAATCTTCCTACAGAACAGTCCATGCTTTCTTCAATATGTATATATTTACATACTTCTATTTATACAAAAATGGGATCATGGTTAGGTAAACTGAATTCTCAATAGCATGTGTAGGTTTTACTCTATCACTAAACGTTATTCAGTAAAAACAATAAAAACCCTTTTAGAAACCACACAGTATTTTCCTAGGCAGATGCATCATTGCTAACTTAACAAATCCTTTATTATTGTACCTGAGGGCTAGGTCCCTCGTGGTGCTGTTTAAGCTGCTCTGCCTGCAGGGAGCATCCTCTGAGCTCAACCTCTGCACACACATACCAAGGATGCTTCCTTAGGTCAGGTTCCTATATATGACATCGCTAAGTCAGAGCATGATGACATTTGTCAGAGACTTGCAGATTCTCTAGCTTAGTTGGCTTCAAAGTTGCAAAGAGTCACAGAAATGAAACGCCAACTCTCCTCTCCTCATTTTACACTTGAAGAAACTAATGCTGAGAGCTTAAGTGACTTGTTCGCAGCAGGAAAAGTGGTCAGTGCCAGAGCCTGAAGGAGGTCTGGTTTCCCAACTCCAAATCCAGGTCTCCTCACTCAATCAGAGTGGCCTGCACACTCTCTCCAACAGCACCTGGTGTCAGACTACTAATGCACTAAGCGGTGATGGAACCGTAGGACCACACCCCTGACACGGACCGAGAAAGACTATTCCAGGCTTCAGCAGGTTCATCCCAGGATAAACAGGAGCTGTTGTGAAAAATGGCACATGTCATTTCAGGATACTCCGAGGCGTCCCTGTACCCCCATTTATCACACTGCAGAAAGCAGGGAACTGGGTAGCACTTGCCTTTGGCACTTTAGAGAGGGAAAAGCTAGGAAGGAGATTGAAACCGAGGTTTCACTAGTCAAAATCCTCCTGCGTGAGAGGAGGGGTTCTACACACCCTGGCCCTCAGTGAGCCCAAGGGCTGGGGGGAGACCCTCAGGAGTTCTTTGGGCCACTCCTTGACCTTGATGCACCTACACCATTCCAGAAAACAAGAACTCTATCTTCCAGATCCCTCAGTAATCGGCATCAGTCAACAAGCTTGGTCGGGAAATCCTTCCCCTGACCTGCAGCCTCCCTGCTAAGGGAGATGCAGGGAAAACACAGAGCTGCCCTCAGGCCCCATGGGCAGTACCCACTCAGAGCCTGTGGGTCCTCATCTACAAATCACAACACTAATACTCCTCTCACCAACATCTTGGAGGAGCACATGAGAATGTTCCTGTAGAAGCTTTTCACAACCTGCAAAGTGTGACAGAAATACAAAGTAGCATTGTTATGATGAAGTCCGCTCTAGTTCCAGATTCAGGGAAAGGAACATTTTGGACACAGACTTCTACTTAATTCTGTAATAGACTTAACTCTCATATTCTTAGAAAGATGATGAATGGTCCCATTTTTTTTCCCATTGGGTAACAAGTCCTAACCCCCAGGTCATCTGGACAGCTCACCTCTGAATACCTCTTGTATATACAGACATTACATTCATACCTAGGGCTTATGAGCACTTCCTATGTGCTGGACCCTATCCTAGATGCTGTACTGCCATTCTCTTTTCTGCAGGTACCATTTTCATCATCCCTGTTCTGCTCTCAAAAAAACCCCAAAGGCTCAGAGAGATTGAGATATCACCAAGGTCAAAGGGTTAGGTTAAGGCCAAGTCAGAGACCCCAGAACCTGCCGACTTCAAAGTCTGTTTCTTAGGAGTACCCCATGCTCCCCCTCCTGTTTCCAAATATACTTTGGGTAGGACCCATGACCTAGAGCCTCTACCTCTCTATTCCTCATCTCCTTTGACTCCACTGACCTCCATCTCCACCACCTATGTCATGAACCGGCTTCAGAAGGTACTGTCCAATTCCAAAGGGGCAAGCTTTGTGCTCACAATCCCCAACCACATCCTCCTTCTTGGATCCCCCAGCCAACCAGCTGCCCTTCTCACCAACTCCCAAGAACTGACTTCCATTAGTCACCTAACAAATGGCAGAACCTTTGCAGTCCCTTCATCACCACAAACATGAATCCTTTGCTCCTGCACAGGGTTCTAGGGGCAGGTGCCTACCAGGGGGCCTAGCTGCTCTCAGGCCTCCATCTCCTGGCAGAAGAGGAAGAATAAGACCCAGCACTTTGCAAACTCAGGCTGCCCTCCTTCTCTACAGCACTGATTCTTCAGCCATCCTGTGGTTCATTTCCTTTGGGGCCCCTAGCACATTCCTAATCTCCACTGTTCCAGGTCCTCTGTTCCCTCCTACTCATTGATTTAGTTAGTATCTAGCTGAGGAATTGAAATGTACAAAGCACATTCCCCAGTGCTGTGATAAGTATAAAATACAAAGATATTCATGGACCGCTATACCAATGCTATTTCTCCACCTGGAATGTCCCACCAGGCTACCTCCACCCCTGTCTATTAAGCTTGGCATTTCAAGAGACTTTTCCAGTCACATTTCTCCTCCCACCCACCTCTTTTCCCCTGGCCACCCTCACACCACAAGAAAACCACAGCTATGAATTCAGACTTGTTTTGAACTGTTCCACAAACTTTCTCTGCTTTTTAACCCTTGTCCCAAAGTGCCTCAGGGCTTTGTTTGGGTCTCATGCTATCTCCACATCTCTCAATCCTGGCCTCTTTTCAACCATTCCAGCAAATTATGCTAAGCAAACACCTCTACAGTAACAAAATACAAACAGGGAAAATAAACTTAAAAGATAACAATAAAGTTGCAAATATTGGGGGGCTCAGTCAGCTGAACGTCCGACTCTTGATTTTGGCTCAGGTCGTGATCTCAGGGATGCAGCCCCGCGTCAGGCTTCACACTCAGCACAGAGTCTGCTTCAGATTCTTTCCCTCTGCCCCTCCCCCAACTCTAAATAAGTAAGTAAAATCTTTAGAGTTGCAAATATTGAGAAAAAGTGTTTGGCTCGTTTTTACAAGTATTTTTTACTCCAAGCTTCAGATAGCATGGTATCAGAATCAGATGGAATCAGATAGCATGGTATCCTCACCATGATTTCCCTAGAAAGCAAAGAACAGGTAAGAAAAGGTCAGAGTAACAGCATCCTATTGAGTTCCTGTTCAGCTGTCTGGTGGCTTTACATTCAGTAACACTATTGGGAAGCTTTAACACAAAAAAGAAAGAAACATGTAAGGAGTAAATTCTTTACCACTAAAAAAAAAAAAAAAAAAAAAAGGATATCCAAGCTAACTCAGTTTCAGAAACTCAGTCGCCTACCTTCATCCTTGGAGCCTCCAGCCAGAAACAAGACCTGGGACTTTCAGGTTAATTTCAGTGGGCTCCTAAGAACTAGAGGCGAAGCCGCAATGCCACTTGAAGACATCAGATGGCAGCACTCATCCAGAGAAGAAAAGGAGAAAACCACCCCTTTTCTTGACCAAAAAAACACAGTGGCCACTCCCACTTTCCACAGCAGGAAGTTTGAGGTTTCTACCACTGAAAATGAAGAAAGGATAATATTTCCAAAATTCCTGGGCTTCCAGTCTTCAGATGGGGCCTGAAATATTTGGCTAACAGACTCTGACGGTGTTTTTGTAAGACTTTTTATTTTTTCTTAAGATTTTATTTACTTATTTGACAGAGAGCACGAGCACAAGCAGTGGGAGTGGGAGAGGGAGAAGCAGGCTCCCCACTGAGTAGGGAGCCCAATGCGGGACTTGATCCCAGGACCCTGGGACCACGACCTGAGCCGAAGGCAGACACTTAACCCACTGAGCCACCCAGGCACCCTCTTTTTAAATTTAAATACTTTTCCCTTGGTCTGTGAGTCCCACGCCCTCCAAAGCCTGCTGGATCTGTGCAAAGTTGGTGAACCTGTCCACTCCCAGCTCGTCCTCACATGCATTTGCTTCATTCTCTGGCCCTTCTCCTGTAACTGGCCCAATTCCACTGAAATGCATTTTATTATTTGATTTATTTATAGGATACCCACATCTTAATTTTTAAAAGCAGAAGAGAAAAAAGGAAGGGAAACTGCCTTTATTAAGTACTGAGCAGGCACTAGCTTTCATAGATTGTACTTAATCAAATCCTCAGAAATGACTTGAGAGCAACAAATCTTCTATTTCTGAGGAGGAAACTGAGCCCCAGGGAGGTTAGCTTGGGGAGGCTACACAAATAGGAAGAAGCGTTCCGGGTGGGGGATTTCTAGTATGTGTGGGATCTCTCAAAATATAACAATTAAGCTGCTTTTTATCTACATGGTATTTTTTTTCCTATGTCAATGAACCCCAATAGAAAAAACTAGCTCCCAATCCTACAAGTCTCTCTTTTCCATTTCTTTGTGCACTTTCTTTACTTGAAAATCTCTTCTCCACTTAGCCTCTGATCTACAAAATAAAGGTCAATGCCTTAGCACGACCCTGTTAAACAGTCCAAGCCACTGTTAATCATTTAGTGGTTCAGGAAGACCTTTACACATATATTGCCCTCTCAGGGGGCACAAAGAGATAACGTGACAATCCCAAAAGTTAAGGAAAATTTTAGCTAAGTTTATACTGGGGACTGCTAGCATGAACGTGAAGAATACAAATCCAGACAATATAGACTGGGCAGCATCGCCAGGGGTGAGTTGATGCCTCTCTTGTGTTCATCGGTATACTCATTATTTTATGGACATGGCTTAATGCACAACATAATCAACAGAGTCCTTCTGGGATTCAGAAATGAACCTAGCACCCACAGACGTCTGTCACG